TCCCCCGCCCCCACCGCCAGATGACAGCAAAGAAGCCCTCGCCATCGATGAGGGGCTTGATGACGACGCCAAGAGCCACCGGAGCAACGCCGCCAAGACCGAGGAGTCCGCCGACGAGAACAACGCCGAGACGTTCGCCGGCTTGACGACCCCGCAGGCAAGCTCCTATGGTGCCACGCCTGTGCTGGGAATGCATCAGCACCAGGGGCCATACGGTGGTGCTGGTGCTGGTGGTGCTGGTGGTGGTCAGATGAACGGCATGCAGCAGGGGGCCATCATGGTGCCAGTGCCCTACCCAATCATGAACCCCTACTTCGGCGGCGGCGCGGCCGCGGCCGCGGGAGCTGGGCCTGGTGGTGGGGGAGCAGCTGGGGGTGGTGGGGTTGTTGGGAGTGGTGGTGGCCAGCCGATGGCCATGGAGGGGGGGGAGATGATGGGCGATGGACATCCTGGCGGCTTCGGCGACATGCAGCACTACCCGGCGTACCCCGGCGGCATGATGCACCAGGGAATGGGCATGGGCATGGGCATGGCTGGTGGTGGTATGCCGTCGCCGGCGTCGCTGAAGCGTCGCGACGAGGCGGCGGCCAAGGCGTTGGTTGAAGAGCAGAAGAGGAAGCGGCAGGAGCACCAGGCTGCGCTGAGGAAGAAGGTCGTCGACATGCTCATGGAACAACTGTAAGACACACACACGCAGTGGGAGGGAGGGAGACAGAGAGAGGGAGGGATGCCACTGAGAGGCGTGTCTCTCTCTCTCTCTCTCTTGTCAGTGAGACGGTGTTTGACGGCAAGTACCTGGGCCGCAACATACAGCTGCGCAAGAGCATGTGCCAGCAGACGGGATGGGTCAGCGAGCAAACAACCACCCTCGTGCAAGCCCCCCTCCCCGTCAACCTCTCTCTCTCTCTCTCTCTGGTTCACTCAGGTGTCTCTGAGCATCGTCCTGTCTGGAGGTCGTTTGGAGCAGTTCATCCGGGAGCACCTGACTCCCGAGCTGCTGTCGTCCCTGCAGACACCTGCCGAGCGTGACTTCGACCACGTCGTGCTGCACCTTCTCCAGGACGCCATCAAACAATCCGAGAGTGAGCTAAGAACCAGCCGGCCACACGCAGCGAGCATTGAAAAAGGTTGTATAATCTATCAGTGTTGGAGCTTGATGGCGAGGGCACCCGTCTCCGTCGGCAGCATGACTGGAGCCTCTGGTTGCTGCCCGGCAAGAAGTTCGCACCCTCGTCTGTGGCCAAGGTACGCAGTCAGGCACACTTGCAACGCCGCGCCCACGCACCCCTAGTGCAATGCACGTCTGTGTGTGCCTTTCCCCCCTATCAGAAGGAGCAGCAGCAACAACAACAGCAGCAGCAACAGCAGCAGCAGCAATCGGCCGCCACATCAGCAGCAGGGATGCTGGGCTCGATGCCCGGGTCCGGTGCTGTGAGCGGGTCCTTGGCCGCCGCCATGGCGCCCACCATCACCCCCAAGATGCACCTGCGGGAGACCTGACGACACCATGATGCAATGCGTACCATACACACACACACACACACACACATGGCACAATGCATCGTGAATGAATGAGTGCTTTTGGCAGTCGTTTTTCCCCTGATTGGTGCGTGGCGTGGGTGGGTGGGTGGGTGGGTGGACGGATGGACGGAGTGGTGTGGGTGGCGGTTGGTGTGCTGTCTGTGTGCCCTGGGGTGGGGCTGGGCGGGGGCTGTATAGAAAGAATGAAAAAAGGAAAACACGCAGTGATGGACGCCGTCTTTGTCATGCAGGCCTGTGAATGGGATCCATGGGTGGGGGGGCTGAATGACTGGATGGATGGACAGACGCGATGCGATGCGATGCGATCTACTTTGCCTAGATATCGTCCTACGTATGTTTAATTCTGTCTGTCTGTCTGGCTGTCTGTCTGTCTGTCACGCGCCAAGCACGCTCATGGATGCGTGGCGTTGCGTGCATCGGGATCAGCCAGCCATACGATTGCCTATCGCTTTGCTTTGGAATCAATCGACTGAGAGAGAAATGGGTGGCTGGCGATTTTGGATGGATGGATGGCTGTGGGTCCGGTCGTGCCGTGGCTTGGCTTGTCTGGCTGTCGTGCTTTGTCACAAACTGCTTAGCAAAGCGGACAAGGAGAAGAGGGGAAAGAGCGCGAGATAGATAGGTAGACAGACACAACCAACAAAGGCCGGGCAGAGCGGGGCGGGCCCACTCACCTACCCTACTCTCTCGATCGATCAATCATTGTTTTTGAGTCCGTCCGTCCGTCCGTCTCTTCTTTCCGTTGTGTTTTGTGCTCGCTCTTCTATCTATGTGCATGTGATGTGTGTCGATTGATGGACCCTACGAAATACACAGATGCACACGTACGTATGGCTGTCTTGTCGGTTGCTTACAAGGGCGGGAGCAAGGGCAGGGCAGGGCAGGGGAGGGAAGGGGAGGACGACAGGGATGGCACGTTATGGCATCCATCCCTCCCATCAATCCATTGGGGGCGGCTTTAAATTGAGAGAATGATGATGGCGTTTGCCGTGGGAGCCATCCGTCCATCTAATCTGCCGATTGGGGTGGGTGGGATGCATCGAACGAATCGAGACGATTGAGGGGGGCGAGTGAGGTTGTGGAAACGTATGTAGCTGCAAGTGATCATATCGGAGGCACCCACTCGCTCTCTACCTCCCCGTCTGTCTGTCTGTCTGTCTGGCCGACGACGAAGAAGGACGACGTACTTGCTCCCTTATTGTGTCTGTGTGTCTCTGTGTGTGTGTGTGTGTATATATCGAATATCCTATCCACGCTTTGTCGCTTCGCTTGACTGCTTGGTTGATTGATGTCTCCCCGCCTTCTTGGTTGGTTGGTTGGTTGGCTTGTTGGTTGCTTGCGGACGGACATAAACAGATAAATAAGTGAAGTCAGCCCCCTCGCTTGCTTGATTCCTTGATTCCTTGAATTCTTGCCTTCTTGCTTCCCTGCATGTGCCGTCTTGTGTTGTGTTGTGTTGTGTTGTGCTCCGTCGTGTGCACGTCATGTGGGTGGGTGGATGGTGGCCATGGGGGGGTGGGTTGAAGCATGAGTGAAGTGTTCTGTGTTCGGGGAGGGAGTGGGTGGGGCGGGATTTGTGCACGAGACCGATGAATGAATGGATGCCTGTGTGTATGTGGTGCTCATCATTTGCCAGCGATTGTCTTGTTGACAGAGCCACACCTGCCTGGACGCCCTGTGCATGTGGCGTCTGGAGTTGACCGTGCGAGAGAAGGGGGCAGACGAATCCTTTGCCTCCCTGCTCTTGACGAGCATCTCCGACGCCACGTGGTGGGGCAGACAGCAGGCAGGCAGGCAGTCAGACCAGGGAAAGAGAGGTCAGCACAGGGAAGAAGGAGTGCCTTTCCTCTACTCTAGTACTGAATCCGTCACGACACAGATTGGTTATTCTCTCACTGACCGACAGGGCACCATGTTCATACGTTAGTAGGGGTCCATGATGCTGCGATGCGATGCGATGTCGTCATGTCACATGATGTCCGTGCTCGACGGCTGGCTGCATGGTGCGTGTGTGATTGACTTATTGAACGAGCTGCCACTTAAGCTGAAATGTCAATCGTCAAGAGAAAAGGACAAAGGCGCTCTCAGCCGATATACAAAAAAGTCATTCAACAGCCGTCTCATTCACACGAGTTGTCGCGTCCATGCACCCGATCCATCAGGTCCCGCAACACCCGCTCAAAGTTGGCTGGCTGCATCAGCCAGAAGTGCCCCTGCCCTTCCAGCACATTCATCCGGCTGCCAGGCAGCCTCCCATGCACCATCCTGCCAAGCTCAATCGGGACAAACACATCCGCGTCGCCCTGCCATAGCGTCACTCGCCGACCCCTCCCAGCGCCGAAATCCCACCTCTCGCCCCAGGTCGGTGTGTCCCGGCCCTCCAGACAGGCATCGTACGTCACACCAGCGGCGCCCTGCTGGAAGGTCTCCCTCGTGTCGGCACAGAAGAGGGGCGCCATCTCTGGATTGTGCAGCACCTCTCGATCCGCCTTTTACGCTCCGAAAAAGCTTGTGAACAACCGCAGAGCGGTTGATGGGGACGAGGCCGCCGCCTTCATGAGCGCATTGGTCACGGCGAAGGACACACGAACGCCCCACGGCAGATTCTTCAAAGCCCAGTACTGCCACCGAGTGGCAAAGGGCAGATTGCGGAACGTCCCACGGTCAATCGACGAAGCGGGCAGTGACCTGCATGATAGACCCACACAGGTCACTGCCAGGATCACTGCCTTGTGGGTGTGCGTTCCCTCTCCCTCCCCTGTTAACCCAGCCACAAATGTTGCCGCGCGAAGCGGCGATGCCGGCAGGTGATAGAGGCAGCTCAGCACATAGGGCCCGCCGCCAGAGATGCCGAGGACGGCAAACTCAGCCACTCCCAGGTGCCTCGCTAGGGCGCCGATAAGGTCAGGGAAGTCATCGATGGACCGGTTGGGGGCGAACTCTGATCTCCCCACGCCCGGCCGGTCGGGCGCTATCAGACGGACACCTTGGCTGCGCGCAGCGATGGCTCCGGAAAGGGACGAGAGGCGGGACGCCGGCCATCCATGGATGAAGAAGACAGGCCAGCCGGACAGGTCACCGCATTCGAGAAAAGCCACCCGTTGACCTGAGGGAGGCACACACACGGCAGATGGGATAAAGACCTCATTGGTTCTCAGAGAGTGTGTGTGTGTCAGCGTGCGGGAGGATGTCGGTCACCGTCTATTGTCGTGAATGTTTCATCTTTGTACTCGCCGACGCGCTGCCTCCACTCATCCCAAGAGCTCGAGCTCGGAGCAGTCAACATGGCCCTCGAGCTGCACAGCAACAGCGGCCTGCGATGGATCTGCCAGAAAGGAGATGGATGCCTGGAAATGGCCGCAAAAGCAGCTGCGAAAGCGAAAGGAACGTTGTGGGCCTTCAGCGCCCGCAACATGACTCACACCACACGATCGACAGAGCGCTTTGAGCTCTCGATGCCTCCAAGCTTGCACCACCCTGGCCAAGCTGCGGCCAGTGTCCTGATGTGGCGTGATGGCTGCTTTTACCATCCGACGGCTCAGCAGATCGTTTCCCCCGTCTGATTGACGTGGACGTCGGACGGACGGGCGGCCGCTCCCTTGTCTTGCTTGTCTGGTTTGTGAATGTTTCGTGTGGCATCCCTGCGTGTCGTGGGCTGTGGATGGATTGAGTAGAAGGAACTCTCTGTCTGCATTAATTGCAATTCAAAACACTCATGCACTGAACACAGCGTCATTCGATCATTCATTCCGTCACGCGCAGGTGGGATGAAGGTCTCATATGTAAGAAGCTCTCTCACACAAGAGAATGTGTGAGAGACAGCCAAGCATCACAATCATTCAGCAGTCCGACTGCAAGCACACACGCACGCACAACTCGCTCACTGGTTGTCCTCAGGCTGTCGTTTCTCTGCGGCAGATGCAGGTGTGGGCGGCGCCTCCAGCTTCGGCGGGGGTGTCTTTGGTGGTGAGGGAGGTGTCACCTCTCCATCCCCCTGGCCCTTCTTCTTCTTGGCCATTTTCCGAGACGGCGGCCTCACTATCTTCACAGGAGACCTGCCAGCCGGTGTGCTCGCCCTGCTCACGGCTGTGCCGGGACGGCTGCCCGTGGGCGTCGTGTCGGCCGAGGCAGGGGCCGTCTGCGGACGCCTCTCGATTGGGAGAGGGGGCGGGGTCGACGGTCCGGCCGATGACGGCTCCTGCTGCTGCTGTTGCTTGGCCATTTGCTGGTCTCTGGCCAGTTGTTTGGCTTGTGCCACTGACGCTGCGACCCTCTCTTCGATGGCCTTCTCCTGCGCCTCTTGTTCTGCTGGGGGTGTCTTGGGCTTGGGGCGACGCTTCGCTTTGGCCTTTCCCCTCCCCTGTGGCCGGCTCTTGCTCTCAGGCGAGGACGCATCCCTCTCGCTGCCGTCCTTGTCGGCCTGCTGCTGTGGCTGTGCCTGTGCCATGTCTCCTCCCCTCTTCACCTGCATCAGCGGAGCCGCCACTGCAGCAGCCAGGACGGTGGCCGGGCTGCTAGCCTCTACAGCTGGGTCTGGCTGAGGCAGCTGCATGTCGACGGGCCTCTCTGTCGGCCTGGGCACTGCCTTGACGGGCTCGGCGGCCTCTTTCGGCCGCTCGCGTGGTGGTGTCCGGCGTGAAGAGGGGATGGCTGGGGAAGTGGATGGCGGCTCCGCGGCGCTTGGAACGTCGTTGGGGCTACGGACGCTGATGTCGTGAGTGGCGAAGCAGGTGAATGTATTGTATTAGTGTAGTCACTGCTTGTTTCTCAGGTGGTGCTTACGTGAAGTTGGTGTGTTCCTCGATGGCTTGGTCTGACCTGACGGCCCTCTTGGTCGTCATCGGTCGCTTTATGCGCTCCAACACACATCTGACAGCAAGACAGAAGGGAGAGAACAGAACACGAGACACGGGCATGGGAGTGGGAGTCTCTCTGGCTGACCTCAGCCTCTCAATAGCCGTGTCCACGGCATCGATGTTGCCGGGCAGCAGCAGCTGGAGGGCAAACTTGATGAAAAGGAAAGCTGCAACACACAAACAGCATGGCCCTCACCAGGTGCTGCATGCACGTCTCTCTCATGTCACGCACCGAAGCAGTAGAAGAACAGGGACTCTAGCGCGTCAAGTGGGTCGTCGTCATCGTCGCCCTGCGGGCCGTCCTCCGCCTTGGGCAGTATCCCGCCAGCACTGCGCACTTTGGCCGTGAACGAGAGCAGTGATGCGTTCGTGAAGATGGCAAGGTAATTCAGACCACTGAACGGATAGAATGTAACACATAGAGTGACGGACTGCTTGAAATTGTGATTCAGACGGCCCACCTGAAAATGGCATGCCAGCATCCGATGTCGAACTCTGCCTGTGGGTGAGGTCTTCTGACTAGCGTCTTCAGCTTTGTCGTGTCGACATAGAGCTCAAACAAAGAAGCCAGGAAGACCAGCAGACCAGCGAGAGGGAATGAAATGGAGAACAGGGCGAGAAAGCCGAAGCTAATGCTCAGCTCGAGGTAGTCGTTGATAGTTCCGTCATACGCTAGGACAGCCTCGCCGTAGGGGTCCATCTCCATCTCGCTGTCGACTTGTTGGATGATCCTCGACACACCCTTCGCCCCACCTGGCCCACCCTTGACGCCGTCCTCCTTTGTCCGCTGCCTTTCTTTCCACTGTGCGACGATCCACGGCCTGCCAAGCTCCACCACGTTCATCAGGGCCCGGATCACTATCAGCGAAGTCAGCTGGGCATTAAGCTCATCCATGCAGTCTGAACACACAAACAGAGTGAGACGGACGGGCATGTGAGGGGTGGGGTGCGTTGCGGTGGGTGCATTACTTGGTCGACAGCCTTCTCTGTGCTCCTTGGCAAAGGCAATGAAGAACAGTGAAGCATACGAGTTAACAAACTGAAACCCAAGACACACGCAAGAGCACAGTGACAGTGCCTCCCTCCCTCCTCTTGTGAGAGAGAGGTACCATAAAGAGGAAGCTCTTGACCGCATACGAGTACTGGAAGAGGGAGTATGTCCGGTGGTTCTCCCACTTTGTGAGCGCCAGACAGACCGGCCGATAAGCGGCGTTGAATATGTTCAGCTACACGTAGATGAGACGACGGACCACACACATTGTGCAGGCGCCACGTCTTATTCTACCCACCTGAATGGCGGTGAGGAGACCGACGACGTGCCCGCTCATATCGTAATCGAGCACATAAAACCACCCCTTGTTAGCAAATGTTTTCTGCAGCACATGCATGTAAGGACGGACAGTCATTATCCTCTCGCACAAATGTCTAATGTCTCACACACCTTGAGCGATAAGATCAGGATGACAAGTCCCAAAGCAACGAGCGAGAAGAGCACACTGACAACGGCCGCGACACTGATGCGGGCATATTTCCTCAGAGGAGCGAAGTAGAGCTCGCCGGGCTCCCCAGTCACCGGCGAGCGCCGCAATATGCCGAAGAACTGCATCCGCGGGGGCTCGCTCACCGCCTCCTGGTGTCCCACACGCCCGAACCATAGAGCAATGCGCAGCTGTCTGCAATACAACCGACAACGGCTTCGTGTGTGTGTGTCTGTGTGTGTGTGTGTGCCTACTTCCTTTCCCATGCGATCAGAAAGCATGTGGTCCAGATTGAGAGGAAGAGGGCGTTGACCAGTCCAACACGATACTCGAACTCATCATCGAAATCCAAGTAGTACAAAATCTGAAAGGCCACACCAAAATCTGACAGGACAGTGGCTACACTCCTTCTCACCTGGAAAGCCATGCCAAGAGCAGCGGGCCAGAGCATGCACGCCGAATAGTGCCGCAGGAAGCAGAAGTACACAGCGATCTTCTCGCCATAGTAAAACGCCTCATTCCTGAGGCGACATTCCAGCACAGAGAGACACCAGTGAGAGGAAAAGCTTTACCGCTCCCCAGCCTCCCACCCACCTATCCTCAAACATGGCCCCTAGGCATCGTGCGGTGCTTCTGAGGCAGCCACAGCAGCCTTCGTCGGCAGGTCTTTTGAACAGCAACGCACCAGAGGCCTGTATGAATGAATCGCTCAGACAGAGACACAGCAGTGTGCCTCTAGTGTTGACGGACACAACACACCGGCCCCAATCGCACCTCTTCAATGGTGTTCTCGACGGCCTGCTCGTCGTCCTGAGTGACGTCTCTGTGCTCCTGCGCCCGCTTGCTCCACCTGGAAGCCATCTCGCCGCCGTCATCGATCATCACACGTGCTGACGGCACCTTGCGGTCGCTCTGCGCCTTTGCTTGTGTCGCTGATGCGCCCTTGTTCGCGTCTGTGTCGTCTTCTGGTGTGACGAATGACCGCATGAGGGCATAGAAGGTCTCAATGGAGGTGAGGGCTGTCATGCGCAACGGCAGGTGGGCGTATAGCTTGTCAACAGGGCGGACTGCAAACGAGCAGGGAGGCAACACAGCGGCTCGGCTGTTTGCTTGTTTTTTGTTCCTTTGCACCAATTGGAAAGAAGTCAACGACAAGGTCCTCTGTGATGAGCGTATAGAGGTCGATCTGCCTCATGATCTGGTCGTAGATGAGCCGCAGACGGTCAGTGGGGCTGAAGGGAATCGACACACTCGCACCTGCGCCAACAAAATGTCCGATGCGGTGCTTGTGGGTGTGCCCGTGTCTCTGTACGTCTCACCTGTCTTCAGCTTTCGGCATGGATATCTTGACCACAGCAGCGCGTGATAGGTGCGATCGTACTCGGCCAGCAGACGGGTGACAGGCTGGCGCAGACCTGATATGGGGGGCACCAAATGGCGACGGGCATTCTTTTCTGTTTGATCGCCCCATCCATCATCGCTTGTTTACCCACCGAGTCGCTGCCACACCGACTTCAGCTCGAGCTGTCTCATCTTGACAACCAGCTTCCGGCCCCACACGCCCTCCTCCCGCAACCGCACCCTCGTCTCCAAGTTGACCTCCCGCATGGCGTGCAGGGCGTCCTTGCCAGCCTTTCTCTCCTCCAGGTACCGCAAATACGTCCGCTCAATCTCGCCCCTCACTGCCTCCTCTGCCTCGCCCCACTCGTCGACATACGCCTGTTCCGACGTGGGTGTCTGGGCACTCTCCTGCGTGGCCGAGGCGTCGGGCTTGGCGATGTTCAGGCGTTTGAATGGCGCGGACAGGGCTGCGGTAATGTCTATGATGCCAGGGGTTGCGGCTGGGGCTTTGGGTCGCTTCTTGGGGGCGGTTGTGTGTGCGAGGCGTTCCAGGCTGCCTCGTCTCCGTCGAAAGTACGCGGCCTGGGCCTGGATGGAGCCGTTGGTCGTGGACTCTTCCTGCACACACGTATGTCGTCGATGCATGAAGGCGCCCTTGTCCCCCTCCGCCCGTGTCTGTCTGTTGCATACCGCTTGTTTGAGCATCGTGTCGGTGAGGTCTCGGTATGCGCTCTGCACCTGTCTCGACTGTTTCTCCTGCGGGCCTGCGTAGAAGAGCTCAGCCAGGGGAGTGAAGCGGCTGGTGCAGGGCTCGTAGCTCTGAACATACCATGAATGGGGCATAAGTGGGCCATCCGTGTTTGGCATGAGTACCTCAGGGTCAGCGACGAGTAGGTTGATAGCCAGGGGATATCCCCTGCGGAGAGCGGCCGACTCGAGGTCTTGCTCGTCGCACGCCACCAAAATGTAGATGAACCTGAGACACACACACACACACACACACACATGGACAGCGCGATCTTTTGCTTGGTTTCACTCACTGGTAGTTGGACGAGAATGCCATCTCTACGGTGAAGTTCAGATGGTGTACTAGCTTCGTCACAATCACATTGCGCACCTGACATCCACACAGACACAGACACGAATATTCGTAGCAATTACCTCCCATCCGTCCAATCGGTCCACCGACCAGTGACATGAAGTCAAAGCACGTCACTGGCGTTCTGGACTGACACCATCCATGGCCAGCTGCGACGAACGAGCTGCTTTGGGGCGCATTGTTCGCAGGGGGAGCGGTCGAGTCGGCGTCGGCTTGATTGCTGGGGCCTGACGCTCGTGGCTTTCCTGCTGCTGAGCGATCCTCCTGGGAGACACACGACATAATGCAGCCAATGAAGGAAGGTACGTGAGACGAAAGGCATTATTCTCTTCGTACAGCCGGCGAGAAGCCTCCTCCGTGAGACCAAGCTTTCCTCTCGGACCCGTCCCTTGCGAGCTTCTCCTCGCCGCCCACGATGGGAATATGGACTTCATCGCTTGCCACCTTTGAAGAGCTCGCAGGCTTTCTTTTGCACCAGCCTTGTCGTCTTGGGGCGTTAGGCAGCTGCTCAAAGGCCTGCATGCGACAAACATGGCCTCAGCTTAAGGCGCTCTCAGTGCTTGCTTTTGGCTTGCTTGTTTCTCACCTCCATGAATTTTTCTTCTTCGACTTTAAATCGCCGCTGCTGCTGACTGACGCCGTTGACGAAGACCTCTTCGCCTCTAAATGACTTCCGGAATAGGGCCTCGGCCTCTTCGTACGTCACGCCCCTCTTCCTCTTGGCTGTGGAGGGGTGATCGGGGTTGGGCACCTATATATGAGACAAACGTAGAATCAACGCCCACACACACCGACATCCCCGAATGATTTGCAGGTGAGGCTGTTGGTTGCTTACAACGATGACATAGTCCCACTGCAGCACCCCTTCGTGAAACTTGGCATTCTGAGAGACAACTGCCTTGCCATCTCCCTCCCGAGCATCCCCAAGGAAGAAGTGCACCAGCCTGTCAGCCCCGGCAGCCCCACCATGTACCCCCTGACCCGTCTCAGTTTCAGTCTCCGTCGCGGCCGTCATTTGCGGGATCTCTGCTCGGGGGGCCGCTTGCCTTTGCTTGACGAGCCTCTTTTCCGCTGTGTCGAGTGCCTCTCTGAGATGGGCCGCCTCCTGCCTGGCCTTCCTGAGGTGCGAACGGGTCTGATCCAGCTCGGCAAGCACATCATCATGGGCAGTTAGTATGTGGGGCAGGGAAGATGGGGAACTGGCCAGCTCGTCGCTCGCAGACGATTGACGTCCCTGTGCGGCAGACACAGATACATGGATGGGCCGGGTATGGATGGAATCTGTTGCCTGTCGTCACCTGCTGCTGCCTTAATATGCTGTCCTGGATGTCCAAGAGGCTGTGGAAGGGCGGACTCTCCATCCTGCGGAGCGCCTGCTCGTAGGTCTGGCTGAGGTAGGCGATGCTCTCTTCCAACGCCTGAATGTCCACCGTCCGTGCTGGATCCTGGGATGCTGGCGAGGAATCCATCCTGTCGTCTCTCTGTGGCATCAGATTGTGCATTCGTGGGGAGATTGCATGCAGTTAGCTCGCAAACGATCTCCCTCAGTTTCGCGACTGCTCTCCCCCCAGACCACGACGAATGGAGGCGTACGAGTGTCCTGTGTGCCACGAAAACATCTACTATGACGCAGCTCGGCGTATGATGCAGGCCGATGTGTGCGGACACAGAATGTAAGTGACTGCCGGCAGACACACACACAGCGCAGCAGCATCACCTGTCTGTTGTCTGTTGTGTGCGCCCTTCAGATGCTCCAAGTGCGTGGACAAGCAGTGTAAGGCAGCAGAAGAGCTCATCGCCTGCCATCTTCTGTGTCGCGTGTGTGTGTGTCACACAGATCAGAATCACTACACGATAGCGTGTCCCATCTGCCGGAATCCCATCAACAAGGACCAGTGGGGCGACAGAGAGCCGGACCAGAACGTATATGACGGCGAGAAGAGAGTCCGCAGGGACGTCAACGCGGTGTAAGCACAATCGAAGACAGACAGACAGAGAGACAGGTGTCCGTGGTGGGTCTTCAGGTACAATAGGACGAGGGAGGACTTCGCCAACACGCCACTTTACAACGACTACCTCGAGGAGAAGGAGGAAGTCGGTAAGGATGGCACCCACAGAGGCAGCGCGGCATCGGACACCGGACTCACCCATCTGGCTGTGTGGTTCGCTCCTCTGCTGTGTGTTTTCTTCCTCCCTCCTCTCCGCCTTCAGTGTATGTGTTGGTCTACAGCAGCCGAGAAGAGGAGAAAGCGGAGGCGCGCACCAAGCTCGAGAAATACCGCAACGACAACGCCACAGCCATATCGGCTAACAGACAGAAACAGGTCGGACGGACACCTTCCACAAATAAATGACACCTGACGGCCGGCCGGCCTCACTGCTGTTTGGTCATTTTCAGGAGGATCAGCTGGCGCAGAAGATCCGCGACATCGTCAGCAAGGAAGGGGACTTCTACGAGCGCGTCAAAGTCAAGTTCCAGCCCGGATTCGCACCCGCAGCGCAGAACCTAAAACTCACACACGTATGTATGCGTGTGTGTATGCGTGTAATCGAGGGCACCCAGTCCGTCCGTGTATGTATGTCTGTGTCTGTCTGTTGTGCTGTCTGCCTGGCAGCGTCTGAAGGTGCAGTACTCGCATCTCTTCAGCGACACTGCTTCTCAGCGAAGGGCGGCGGCTGCGACAGCAGGGGCATCGACCGGATCTGCCGGGCTGCCCAGGGTGAGACGGACGGATGGACACGCACTCCCTCTTTTTTTGTGTGTGTACCTGTCGGGACGCGTGTGTGCGTGTGGCCGATTCATGCAGCCGTTGGGCGCCTTTCCCAGTGAGGATCGGCCGATGCCGTCTGAGCGGGCAGACTACCAGAGAGCTGTGTAAGTGCAACGAGCACCCGCACGCACATGCCCCTCCCTCAATCGTGTATGTATCTGTGTGTTGTTGCGGTGTTGCTGGCTGGTCGTCGTTGGTCGATCAGCGAGGCGCAGAAGGCAGCGGGAGGGTACAGTGCAGCGCTGTGCCGCCGGAAGGCCAGGCAGATCCTCTACGACCCCTCCAAATGGTCCACCTGAATGAAGTCTGGAGCGAGCGACTAAGGAGGGTGGATGGTATGAGAGTGCTGCGACAGACAACGCGGGTGTTGATATGATATCGTGGGACGTGCAAACCGTAGACGAACATGTTGGTGGAGAAGTGAAGAAAACCGGAATACATAGTCCGTTCAGACAGACACACACACACATGGTACACATGGTCCGAGGGGTCGGGGGGAGTGGCGTGGACCCTTCGGACCAAAACATGAGACAGGCTATCGACATCATCGAGACACCGACGCGCACCCACACATTGGCTGAAAAAGCTTTCTGATGAAATGACACACAGAACACATACACAGCCTGTTCGTGTCGCCCAGCTGGGATGGCCGGCCGCATTCCCCCCTACCCTCCTCACACCCACAGACGCGTCCATCCATCTCCATCCATCCATCCAGCCGTCCATATCGACAAGCCACCACACCATACAGGTCGGGCACTCGAGCGACTAAACAGAGAGACGACATCACTTTGTCGGTTTGGGCGAAATTGACGAATGCACGTGCAGCAGTGCCCAGCGCACAACGGAGGCACCTCGAACGCATCCTTTTGCAGAGTGGTGTGCTGTGTGTGCCGGGGTGGCTGTCTGTGTGTCTGTGTGTGTGTCTGCGTGTGTCGGCTCAGTCGACCGATTCGTTGACATACACACACACGTTGTGCCGACCAACCCAACCCAACCCACTCACTCAGTTAGTCCTTGATGCAAATCACGATGGAAATGACGATAAAGCAGACAAAGCCACACACACACACATACAAACACTTGTGGATGGTGGACATCCGTCGACATGACACACCGACACGCGCACACGCTGGTTGATAAAGTACGTTGAGAAAATGACAGTGAGCAAAACACGTGCTGTGCGCAACCTGCCGCATTCCCCCCTACCCCACCCTACGCACACGCACAGACACACATCCACACCCATCTACCGCACCATAAATGTGGGGGACTCTACACACCAAACAGTGCGCTTAATTGGGGCTGAAGAGGTGGAACTCCTGCACGTTCTTGACCGTGTCCATCACCGCCGCAGCGGTCCCGCACACACACACAGTCGTGCCAGCCGCCAGCTCCACACAGCACACCACCCTCTCTACCAGAGATATCTCACGCCAATAAGCGCGAAGGTACAACATCACCTGCACACCGAGACACACGCACACGCATGTTTTTGTTAGTGTGCGTCTCAGTTGTACGTGCCTGCTCACCGGGAAGATGAAGGTCAGCTGCGTGATCCCCCACGCACCGATAATACTCGCGATGTCGCCGAAAAACGGCAGCATTTGTGCGAAGAACAGAGCGAGAGCCAGGACGCCACACCGCAGCAACACTCGCGTCACGCCAGCATTCACCGACACCCACTTGCCATTGCCGTCCTCTCTGTCGGTGGCACTTGTTTCTATGTCGTCTTTTGCACTCTCCGCGGCTGCCGCCGCTGTCGTGGGCACAATGGCTCCCTTGTGTGGGCTGTAGGTGAGCTGCGTCCTGAAGGCATCGGCCCATCGGGTGGGGATGCTGAGAGCGATCTCTAGGTTCAGACACAGAGGCGTCTGGCACAACACCTGGTCCGCCGTTGACATGAGAAGGATCTAGACCAACACACATAAAGCAGAGCACAGAGCTGACTGGCCATTATTTCCGCGATTTTCGTTTCGCCTGCGTCTCTCGCTTACCATCAGGAGCATGCTGAGTACGAGGGGCTGACCGCTGTCCTCTTTGAGGGCGTCGATGTATGCGGGGGGCACCGACGCCCCGAAAGCGGCGTAGCCCATGAACGCCGTCAGCATGTTGAGCACAAGGCCCAGCCCACAGATGAAAGTCACCACACCCTCAAAATGCCCCGGATGGCGCATTTCGCGCACCAGCTCAGGGAACAGAATGTGACCGCCGAAACCTGCAGGATCAAGACACAAAGACACAGACATATTGACATGTCGTGGTTCTGATGCACTTCGTCATCGCATCAATCACCGCACCGGTGAGGATGTTGGCCACGCCGAGGAACAGTGTCCTGAACGATCTCACGTCTGTGTTGTTGACGGCCACCACAGAAGGCTCAATGCTCCCCCGCTGCCACAGCGCATATGCCGGCAGCACCAGGTTGGCCCCGCTCGCCAGAAGACCAGCAGACGACATCAGCGCCCCAGCATGGAAGGTCGGCACGAGCAGAGCCAACGCCAGGTAGATGGCGAAGGTGATGTACCGCCACTGCGCGCCGTTCAGCCGAACGCCAATAACCTCCTCAGGGAAAATGAGGGAGAACTGCGTCTGCTGGAAGATCGTGTTGCCGACGCAGTAGACGAACAGCTGGAAGATCTGCACGAAGCCGACGAAAGAGGCGAACCGTGGGCCATACAGGCTGACGGCAAGCTCTCTGTAACTGCCAGCACAACGCGTCTTCACCTCCCCATTCTCCGCCTCTTCTTTGTAGAGCGTCGTGTCCTTGCAGAGCCTGCCCAGCATCAGCCCCGTGTGCCAGCTATAGAGCGCCGACAAGACAAACAACACAAGGGATGGCAGCCAACCGAGGAATGCCACAGCCCAGGGCAACAGATACGGCCAGTAGAGGAACAAGAGAGATTCCACGCACGCGTAGCCCGACGAGAGGTGCCGGGCCACGCCGGCGTTGCCCGCCTTGACCGTGTCGTCATCACAATCCGTTGCAGCCACCGGCTTGTTGGCCCTCATTCTGGCCGCAAGGTTCTCGTTGAGATGGTAGTCGGTGAAATCCACGTGAAGGTCTGGGCCGTGGGCAGGCGCCGTGTGTGAGGCTGCTCTGCGGGGGGAATGGTGGGCTGGCAATGGCAGCGAGGTGGACGGACTGGCAGCAGCCTGGGAGCTGTCGGTGTCAATCGCGCCATCTCGACTCTGAGCTTCCATGTCGTTGTGCACTGGAGGGCCCCTGCCGCAGATCTGTCGTCGGATCTTCTCGTGAGGTCTTTCGGCCTCGTGAGTTGGTGCTTAGCTGATCATCTTGCTGCTGCTTCAACCTCGGAGGAGTAGGCCTTTCTGCTTCTCCTTCTCGGTCTTCCCTGCGAGCTCAAAAGCTTCTGATGAGGCTGTAGTTGGACTCACTCAAAAGCTTGCAATGGCCAATGGCAGAGGCGAAGAAACGCTGTCTGCGATAGATCTGAAGAGCCTCTGCCGACACAGAAGCGATGTAAGACAGAAGCGATGTAAGCACGTGGATGGAAGTGATGTTCTTGGATGCCACTGATCTTCCCTGTCTTCGTCTTTTCCTCGTGTGTCCCTTCTGCAGCCGTCTTCCATACAGCCGCCTCTGCCATCATGGGTCTGCAAACGAAGCACCTACATCCGTTGGCGCTCGTCATCCTGCTCATCTTCGCTGACCTCGCCCGTGTCGGGAGTGCGGCCCAGCAGGCCGTCGGGCGGCTCACAAGACTGCAGAGATACCAGCCCAAGGGTGTGCAGTCGCTGCTGGCCGGCGAGTCCATGAAATTGCAGCAGCGGCAGAACTTCAACATCGCATCGGAAGAGGCGCTCAGCGCCCATGCGCGCGTCGAGCTGCAGGCGTCCTACACATACCGGGTCATCGCGGCGTACTTCGCCCGAAGCGACGTTGCGTAAGAGAGAGGGAGGGAGCGAGGGCCGCACGCGCTCAGCTGTCCGGTGATTGGTCATTTGGTGTCGTGTGTCACGCGGTGATGGTTGTTCTCAGGCTCGGAGGGTTCGAGGAGTATTTCCGGAAGAAGAGCGAGGACAGTCTCGAGAAGGCACAGACGTTCATCGACTACATGAACAGGCAAGAGGGAGGGGACCAATCAACGGTGTGGACATCGAATACGTGTGTGTGTGTGTGTGTGTGTGTCAGTCGTGGCGGCATCTTCATCTTCCAGATGCTGGAGGCGCCCCGTTACGACTGGACCAGCGCCACAGACGCCATGAAGCATTCACTCGCAATGGAATTGGACATCAGTGACTCACTCCTCAAGGTAGGTAGATCACCATGTGTGTGTCTGTATCGATGACGCCGCTTCTGTCAGGTTCATCGGGTGTGCACAGAGGGCGGCGATCCGCAGTTCACCGACACACTCGAGACATTCTTCATGCGCCGCCAGGTCAAACCGCCACCCCACCACCCAGCCCATCCGCCCACACACTTGCCGTGCTGTCTAAGTGCAGGTAGAACATCTCAAGGAGATCGCTGACCTGCTGACCAACATCGAGAGGGTGGGCCACAAGGGCGTCGGCATCTACATCCTCGACCGCGCCCTCAAGCAGGGAGGCGCAGAGGGGGCGGGCGCCAACCCCAACACAGGCCTGCAGGAGGCAGAGGCCGGCGGGGAGGCGGGAGCGGCCGAGGCAGGCGCAGCCGGGGCCGGGTGATCCATCGATCCATTGATCGATCCACACATGGGTTAGAGGAGAGAGATGAGACGGGCGGGAGCTCAGCAAGGGTATAGGAGGGGGGTTGCTGGCTGGCAGGGTTTTTTCGCAGTGGTGTGTATGTCTGTACATATGAATGAATGGCATAGTGAGTTGACGAGCTGGTTAGGGCGAGGTGGGGTGGGGTGGGTGTGTGGCGCTCACATTGGTCGTGTGCGTGTTTGTTAGGTTGCTGGCTAGCGCCTGTCTCGCGCAGGGTTTTTCGGTCAGCAGGGCACAGAGACGGCGCCTTGCTGTCTTTCTGATCTACCTGTAGGTAGATTGCCCGTCATGTCATCTTCCTTATGATGTGTCAGTTAGTGCTAGGTCTTGTGGTGTGGCTGTCGATGGACGCACGCATTCTAGTCGGCCACTTACCATTACCATTGCGCTACGTGTCAATCAATGTCCCTTGGTCCATCTACCCACACGCACGCACATGTCTACCCACATCCACATGTTCGCTATCCAGCTGTCTGTCTATCTATCTGGGGGGCACAGCACTTCGTGCGCTGGTGGGCCGGCCATCCCTGTCCCTGCCCCCTTCCCCGCCCCCTCCCCCTGTGTGTGTCGCGATCGGCGGCAGTGCGCTGCCAGCCGCCTCGGCCTCTCTGACGCGAGGCTGGCTAGACAGGCCGTGGTGCTCGAAATTCCGCACTATCACATCCAGCGATATCCGCACTGTGCCTGCACACACACACACACGCACACACACACACACGCACACACGTGTAGAGGGGGGGCGGGAGGGAGTTCTGTGTGTTTGTGTGTGTGTGCCTGTACGCACCCGATGAGGCGGCGTAGAGCCGGGAGCGGTCCTTGGCGTGCTTGTCGATGACCTCCAGCTGGGTCAGCTGAGGACGGCCGCCCACGTAGTGTGCTGATATGATATGAATGACACACAATCATTATTCCTGGGTGCGTGTGTGTGGCCTTCAGCAACGTTGTCAGTCATCCACTGACCGTAGAGTTCCTCAGCGAACGTGCCGAGCGGCGTCCATGTGTTGACGTCTACCTCATAGTGGCCGGCCAGCGTCGGCAGACTCGACGTGCCGTACGACACTGCAGCCACAAACACACACAAACACACACGCACACATCCATGCATGCCAGCCACAAATGCCTGTTTGCTTCTCTCCACTGGTCGCGTACGTACCTACAAACACCCTCCCAAACTCGTCGAGCCGCCAGATCTGCAGGCGCACCCTGGGCCAGCCCGCGATGGATGTGGTGGCATAGTGCAGGTCAACAGGGTGGTTCCACACGTGAATACTCTCAACCTCCACCACACACACACACAATGCCTCCATCCATCCATCCATCCATCCATATTGCGCCGTGTGATTCCCTCGTCCATCTTCCCTTCCTCGTCTTACGTCTGTGTATGCCGTCTGCGTCTGCACGGGTCCCTCCCCCGCCCGGCTAAGCGGCAGCCAGTGCGGCCCCGCCTCCACGCTCATCTCACAAAACACACCATCGCTCGCCGGCACGCCGAATCCCCACCCTCCCTCCAGTGAGCCGATGAAGTGCACCTCGGCCGCACGGTCGCGGTCGGACCGATGGCGGTGGGACTTGGCCGGAGAAAAGGAACCGCGGACGGCGGAGGCAGCCCCAGGAGTGGCGCTCATCACGCTCGCGGCCAGATCTATCGATTCACAGCTATCATGATCCACAGATTTACAAGCTCGCCAGATTGCTCCTGGCCTTTTCCACAGTTTTGTCAGCACAGCAAAGGCACGGCAAAGGCCAGGGGGGAGCGGCGGATATCGATGATGTTTGACCTGAGCCACGAGGTGCACTTCTCGCAGGACGACTTGCACCCCTGCACGTGCGACGAGGATTTCACACACAGGCTGCTCTTCCAGACCAACCCATGGCTCAACAAGCACTTCACCTTCGAGAAACTGCTCGGGGCAGGTAGGTCTGCAAGCCTCATCGATGTGCGTCAGTCGTCTGTTTGCTTGACGCTGTCTTTGCTTCAGGTGCGTACGGTGTAGTGTACGCCGCGCTCAACAAGGCCCATCCGGCTGCTCGTGTGGGCGAGAGGGTGGCCATCAAGGCCATCAACAAGCAGTATGACAGCCAGCAGAACGAGATCAATACCGGCATCGCTCGGACCACCATTCGTACGTGAAGCAGCAGAGCAGAGAGGAGGGGGGAGGGGCGACCAGCCTGTGTGTTTGTGTGTTTTTGTCTGTGTGTGTGTGTGTGTGTTTGAGTGTGTGTTTGATTTTCTCCGTTGCAGGTGAAATTGCGCTTCTCCGCCACATCTCTGACCACCCCCACGTCGTGTCGCTGCTCGACATCCACCTCACACACGGCGACGGACCACAGACCTTCCTGCTCTTCGGTAGGCAGAGTGCCTCTTCTCTCACACAGAGATTCGCTCATGTGTGGAGGGGTGTGAGTGGACGTGTTGGTTATGTAGAGTACTGCGACACGGATCTGCGTGAGTACATGGAGAGCTGCGACGGTCCGCTGCCCTTTGCCACCGTCCGACGCCTGGCATACGAGCTGCTGCTGTCCGTCGCATACCTACACTCCAATGGCGGTACACCTGCAGAAGCAACGCGACAGCAGCCGAGTGGAGTGGATATGTGTGTGTGGTCTTATTGTGGCTGGCAGTGATGCACCGAGACCTCAAGCCGAGGGTGGCAGAACGAAAGAATGGCTACGTTTATTGGTCCTTGTGAATGGATGGATTGACGCATGAATGCAGAACTTGTTGTTGCTCGGCGATCGCCTTGTGGTTGCGGACTTCGGCCTGGCCAAGATGATCCACCCGCCAATTGCCAAGAAACTCGAAACATCTGTGGTGGGATGGGGTGTGTAGACAACAAAGGGCGACTGGGTGGCGTGGCATGTGTGAAGGGTCTGTCTTCTCTGTCTGTAGGTGACGCTGCCCTACAGGGCGCCAGAGCTGCTCCTTGGCGCCAAGACCTACACCTGCTCCCTCGACATCTGGTGGGTTTGTGGGCACATCCCACCTCACTCTATGTCTCTCCGTGTGTGGCTAGGTCTGTGGGTTGTATCGTCGCCGAGCTGTTCACGGGTGTGCCCCTCTTCCTCAAGGAACGAGCACTCGAGGTTCTCTTCGACATCTACAGCAAGCTCGGCACGCCCACACCCGACACATGGCCAGGCGTCGACCAGCTACCACACTACAGCACGGTGAGACAGAGAGAGGGAGGGAGGGAGGGAGGCAGGGGGAGAGAGAGAGACAAGCAACCAGAGAGATGCCTTTATGGCGGCCTTTCTCCTTCAGAAGCATCCCCAATACCGTCGCGACCCTTTTGAGGGCATCCGTCAGGCGATGGAGGAGGCCCACATCATGCAATACCACGGGTGGTTCGCTGACATCACCGACACTCAATTCGACCTGCTGGTGGATCTCGTGTCGAGGTGGGGAGACATAGATGTGGTGGGTGGAGAGAGGGAGAGGTGGGTGACACACGTGTGTGTGTCTGTGTGTGTGTGTGTGTCAGTATGGTCAGGTGCAGCCCCGCCGACCGTGCCGGTGCCGTAAACCTGCTCACTCACGAGTTCTTCGGTCAGCTAGAGAGATATTGATTGAGTATGCCCTTTGCCCACGTCGTGTCTCCTCCTCTCCATGTATGCAGATGGCCTCGACAAGTTGCCCTGCCCCACAACGTTCTACCAAACGTCATCGGCTGTACCCCACCCCCACCCCCACCCACACCCGCACCCGCACCAGCTGCCGCCCTCCCTCACCAAGGCCACAGAGCATGACGACGACGTCTGTGTGCGTGCGTCCAAGCGCATCAAGACGAGCGGCCCTGCCGCAGACGCTGCGTATGTGCGAGCATCGAAGCACATCAAGACGACTGTTCCTGCAGCAGAGCGTGTGGCGATGGTGGATGGATGAGTTGATGTGGGTGTAAGTGGGTGGAGGAATGCTGCGTGTTTGGATGCGTGTGGACCCACAATGTGCTGTGGGTGACTAGACTGGACAGTTAGACATGCATCGCACATCAACGTGTCTGTGGTGTTGTTGTCTTTGCGAGCAATTGGCCGTCCAATACAAGGAGACATCCGCCCGTCGGCACATCTACACGCATATATACAACACACCCGGCTGCCTCACACGCTGAATGCACGTAGCCATGTTGGCTGCAGAAACAACAGAGAGCGACTCCGCGCATATAAACAGCAGACACAATATCTACATGTCCATCCATGCCGTCTACAGACCCACCTCGCCCAGCGCCCCTACGTAAGCTTCTCCTCTCTGTTTCTCTACAGATCGTAGCCCTTCATGGTCCACGTAACGGACCCCCTGCCTTTGCTTGCATAAGTCTCGAGCAAGATCTCCTCTCCCGCGGCAATCTCAGCCGTCGCCACAATGTCAATCCTGAAGAACCAGTCATCCCCCGACTCCTCATCACTTGACTCTCTGTGGTTGTCCCATATGCTCGACCGCTGCCCTCTGCGCCTCCGTGCCCTCTTCTTCCCTCTCCCACAGAAGAGATGTGTCTCGGTGTCTGTCATTGGTCTCATGCGGCCGTCGGGCTCTCCACGCGCATACTCACACCGCCTGCATGGCAGGAAGAGAGAGATACAGAGAGGGAGAGAGAGAGAGAGATGGTGTCTCGGAGTGTGTCGTGTATGGTCACCATGTGACGTTGTGGGCTTCTGGCGGCGGGTGTGCGACGTTGATGACGGCTCCGACATGGATGTCAGGCGATGCCCAGATGCACTCCCTGTCCGCCCATATTTTGTACAGGCGATAGGGAGGGGTCTGACACGAATCACCACGGGTCTGGCCGAGCCTGTTTCTCAGACACGTCAGGACGTCATCGTCACGCATGGCCGCCGGGAACCGGTAGCCGTCGACAGAGTGGATGACCTCGCCCTTCTTGCGAGGCACGGCAGTGAAGAGCCCCCTCTCCGCCCTGCCGTCGTGCTTTGCCACGCTTGAATGGTCGACGAATGTCTTTGTCTGGTGCAGCTTGGCAAGCAGAGCCACATATGAGCCCGATAGGCTGCAGTTGAGGAGATGGTGCGGGTCGACCTCCGTGGCCAGGGGGTGGCTGCGAAATCGCAGGGGGCTCCGACGGGGATCCGATGCGTCGTGCTCTTCCAAGACGTTGGGAAAGGGGGATGGATGGGGCTGGCGGGCAATGCAACGCGCACGCGGCCGAGCTCCGCGCAGGCCAGCACTCTTCATCTCTGGTGGATGTCCGACTCCAAGGAGCAACTGCCGGAGAGTGTCTGCAACAGACACACCCACCACACGTCGGGCAGAGCACACAATCGTGCTTGTACATGGCCTTGCAATGCAAACCTCGAATATAATAAATGGGAGGAAGGGCAGGCGAGCTAATTGATGGCGCACACACTGGCCGTTGAGAACTGTTCCGTCGGCCGTTGAAATTGGTACCCGCGGATTTGCCGGCGGGACCTAGCGACTCCCGTCGCCAGTCGCAGTGACCGACTAGGACACCTGCACGTTCCCCTGACCATGGCTGCTGCTCTCACCATTGCCAAGATGCTCTTCCTGCCCTCGCCCAAGATGTCCCTGATCATTCCCTCGCTTCACTACGATGACAACGAGCTGGAGGCGGCTTTTGCCGACAGAAAACGGTCACTCTCGCGCAGAGCCATCGTGGTATGGACACACAACCCCACACACTTCGGTGCGCTCCTCCTACTGCCCTGCACCTTTTCTTTGTGCTCAGGTGCATTTCTTCTGCTATGGAATGCTGCTGTTTTCCCGCCAACTCATCTTCATTTCGGAGAGTGAGGACTGGTGGCGGCTGCTGAAGCTCCACACGCCATTGGGACAGCAGTTCCTGCTTTCCTGCTGCGTGACTTTCACTGTGATGGCCCTGGGCATCTATTGCTCCCTTCTGGCGGTAGGAAAGGGCAGCAGGGTCACCTGGCTGCAGATTTGTTTGTGGTCGTCTGTCGTGGCAGAGAAGCGGCTCTCGATGCCGGTCGCCCCAGATGCTGTACTACGTATGCCTCACGCCTTTGTGCATGGTCATCCACTCGGACGTCTTTCGGCAGGAAGTGATGGACCTGCTGCCCTTCCAAGAGAGCGTGGAGCCCTGCACATACTGCATGATGTATGTGCGTGTAGGAGAGACGGCTGCTTACATAGCTGAGAGTCAATCTCTCTGTCTGCGTGTGTTTATATGTGTGGCCGCAGAGTGGTATCAGCCTGTTTTCTTCACGTTTTCTTCTTCGACATCGTCCGCATGCTGCCCTCGTTCGCCATCTTTGGCCAATGGGTGCTGCCCTGGCTCGTCTTTGGCTCCAATACCTCCAAGCTCGCTGCCTACATGCAGCACCCTTTCACCGTCTATAGGATGCTTACCATCGCCACGTTGGGCTCATGGGTCGGTGGGCGGAGAGATTGGCGCGAAGCAAATGCGAACGACGTGTGTTGTGGCTGGTTTGTCTGTGTGAGCAGATAATAGTGACGGTATTCGTCCACGAGAAGGAGCAGAGGCGCACGTTCCGTCTGGAGGAAGAAGACAGACGCCGGCAGAAGCAGAGAGAAATGGTGTACGCAAAGACTTCACATGAGCTCAAAACCAAGTAAGGCTCGAGACGGGCAGACAGCCTTGTAAGGCTCGAGACGGGCAGACAGGCTTTGCGCGACGGTCGGAGTGCGCATCGATCCATGTATGAATGGCAGCATTCACCTCATTTCGCTGCGGAAGGAGCTCTTGGGCGAGACACTGACCAGTTCGGACCGCCCGGTGCCACGATCGACACTGTCGAAGGCCATGAAGGACATACACTCAATCCAACTGGTCTGCTCCACAGTGCAAATTGTGACACATATCACATGTGTATGCCGGGATGTATGTGTTATCAGGAGACCGAGGATTTGAAGACCACGGTGTTGGGGATTCTGGAGTTCGCGAGAGCCAGAGACAGAAAAGAGCCCGTATCGAACGCTGTCGTGGGTAGGAAGGACCCTCCATGTGTGTGGTGTGCATGGTGGGAATGGACCTTTCTTCTGTTGATGAATGCATTGATGTCTCCTTCAGGCGGTGGTGTGCTGACTTTCTTCTCCCCCGTGAACCTCTATCGCGCCCTCGTCGATAAGCTTTCACTGCTGGCAGCGTGCAACGGTCGGTTTATAAGAGAACAAACACAGCGGTCGGTCGGTTGATATTGAGGATACATCTGTGCCCGCATACCAACGTGTAGGCAACAAGCTGTCGATGGGTGTGGAGATGTGTGGGTGGGATGGCGACTTTCCGGACGTCACTGAGGAGTCGGTCATGGTCTATGGCGACGCCACCATGTTCCTCGTCGTGGTTAGCAAGACAGGGCGGGACAGAGGGAGGGAGAGGGACACAGGGCCAAGGATGGTGTGAATGGGATGTCAGGGGCGTAACTACATCACCAACAGCATCAAGTACTGTGCAGACGGCGTGATAGACCTCACTCTCAAGGTGGTGCTCCTGTCTTGCGGCGACGAGGGGGACGGCGATGCTAAGAAGATGACTGTGCGAGTCGATATGGAAGGTACGGCACAGACATGTGGATGGATTGAGGCCGGGATGCAGGTCTGTATGTATACTGTCTGAGTGCTGTGGTCGTTTCAGTCAAGGACACGGGCATAGGCATTCCAAAGGACAAGCTCAAGTCCGTCTTCCAACCCTATGTGCAAGCAGGTGAGACATATCATTCAAAGGCGACCTAACTGCCTTCTCTCCCTCCCTCCCTCCCTTTCTCCCTCCAGGTGGCGTGACATCGAAGACCTTCTCGACCCACGGTCTCGGCCTGTCGACAGTGCAAGACGTTGCCCAGTCCCTCACCAACGGCAGAGTGTGGGCCGATTCGGACGGTCCCGGCACGGGAGCCTCATTCCACTTCACCGCTGAATACCAGGCACAGGTAGGCTGCATGAACGAAGATGCGTGCAGAGGGCCACACAAATGTCTTCAGCTGAAACAACTGCCGCCCACCCTGGGGGCGGTCGAGGAATGCGACAGCGAGGAGCAGCGTGAGGAGACGGCTTCAAAGAGCCTCTCGGTCCAGGGTGCCAGCAGCGAAGAGCAGAAAGACAGCAGTGGCACCATTTGTGACGTCAACAGCAGGTGGCCTAAGTGATCACACACCCGCACTTGTCTGCCTGTTTGTGTGTGTGTGTGGGCTGCTTTGGTTTGGCTGGTGCATGGCATGCAGTGTGTCGTCCGGGCGGGACATCTCTGGGCGTCACGTCCTCCTTGTGGATGACATGCCCTTCATCCTGTCGATGCAGTCGTCATTCCTGGCCACACAGGGCGTCAAGAAAGACAATGTAAGTGGGTGGGATCCCGAGACATCAGCGCTCATCCCTTTGTGTGTCTGTGCGTGCGTGCGTGGCCACCAGATTTTTACCGCGCTTGACGGCATGTAGGACACCCAACACGTGCACAGGCCCCGCCGACTGCACTTATCTGCCTGTGTGTTCTCATTCTTGCAGATCTGCGCTCGAGTCCGTGCGAGACAAGATGCTCAGCGAGGGGCGGCTCTTCGACCTCATTCTCACCGACCTGGAAATGCCCAAACTGAATGGAATCGACTTTGCAAAGTACAAGCAGCCGCCTGCGAAAGCTCTGCACACATCTTCGTCTCTCCGTCTGTGTGGGTGCACGCAGACGAGTCCACATGGCCTTCTGCGAGCTGGCGGCCGACGAGTCGCCACTGCCGAAGACGCCCGTCACGGGCATCATCTGGCCAGCCGGTGCATTCACAGAGCGCACGCCACTCGTGGCATTTCACATGTGCATCTTCGCGTGTGTGCGTCGTCTTCTGTGTCTGCAGGTGTGTCGTCCGGCTCGACCCTCACCGTGCCTTCCCTTGAGATGCTGACGCCGACGACCCCTCCGTCGAGCACCCGCACTTTGCTCGATGACGACAAGAGCCACAGCCAGAGCCACTTGGGCGAAAGCCCGCTTGACCAACTGATCGGCAAGCTGTCGACCGAGAGGATTTCCGCCGTGTTTGACAGAATTATTTGACAGAATTATCAACCTGACGGACGAAGAACAGCAGCAGGAAACCGGCGGCGTCACCACTCTGTTTGAGTACCAGCTGCCGCTCGTGTTGGTCTCTGGTACGTGACCTCATTTCATTCGCTCGCTGCCTCCCCCAATCCCATCCCTGCCTGTGCGCGTGTGTGTCTCTGCAGGCGCGTCCAAGAGCGAGTTGGAAGAGATCGAGTCGACGGGTTTGTCCGCTAGGGTGGTTGAGAAGGGAGGGGTGAACCAGATCAAAGACCTCGTCAGAGACATGCTCACATAGATGGAGCGTCTGTCTGTAATGGCGTGGAGGGATTGAGGGAGGGAGGGAGGGAGGAGCGTGGCTGTCCTGCAGTCCATGTGGGTCTGCACGTGCCTCTGTCTGTATTTGGAGTATTTAGTTTGGTGTCTGCACACACACATCAGGCAATACGCCGCAATTCTCTTTTTCCTAGGGTGGATGTCTGTCTGTGTGGTTGGGTGGGAGGCTCGTCTGTGTCTCGTTGATCGACGATTTAGTTGACGGGTGGGTGGGTGGGTGCATTTTTCGCCCTTTGTGTGTTGTGTGTGTCTGTTGGTGGCGTGATGCGGCTGATTAGGCGTGCAGATAGAACGACGCGAGACTGATGGCGGCACACACGGACTTTCTACTGTTGTATGAATGAAGAGACGGTGAACGGTGAAGGGTTGAGAGGACGCCATCTAATATCACATCGGTCCATCCATCGGTTTGTCCGTCCACACACACACACACACAGACATTCAGACACACACACACACACTTACATAAACACCACACCACACCCCACCGCGTCACCGCACATACATCACGTTCGTGAGCGTCTTGTGACTGATCGACGTCTGTCAGGTGAGTACATGGATGGATGGATGGATGGGCAGTGGATCGGGTGCTTTTTCTCTGGGCGTCATGTGTGCTGTGTTCTCGTGTACGCGGCGGCTCACGAGATGTTGGTTGAATGGTGAAGCCAATACAAGATAGATGCCCTCAATCACATCAGCATATCGATCCGGCCATCCATCGGTCCGTCCACACACACACACACACACCTTCAGACACACATAAACACCACACACACGCGTGCATGTAACAACAATACATCACATTCGTGAGTGTCTTGACCGACTGACGTGACGTACCCACACCGACTGGCTGACCGACCGACTGACTGGCTCAACCCCCATGCCACCCAAACACAACACCAAACAATCGTACCAAATCAAATCACCACCTCTCCTCGCCCATCGCATTGATTATCCCCCCCGCCCCCCATTCGCAATGTTATCGCGCAGCAGCCCCATCGAGTCGCCGTCAGATGACCCGCCCATAGAGTCGCTCCGCTGGCTCAGCGGCTGGGGCCCACTGCCACCCATGCCCATCGTCATCTCGACATCGCTCTTGGTGCTGCTGCTGCTGTCACGAGACGAGGGCGAGGGATAGTAGCTCTTGGTGCCCCTGCCGAAGGACCTCCTGCCGGTCATCGGCAGCAAGGCGTTCCCCTGACCGGGCGATTGCGTCACGCTGGTGGTGATGGGCGTGTGTGTATGGGAGTGGGGCCCGCTGAGAGACGGCTGGGTGCTGTGTGTGCCACTGCGGGCGGCTCCGCCTGTGTCTGACGGCCGCTCGACGCCCAGCTGCTGCAGGCGTCGCTGCCTTTCTCGGGCCAGGATGGCCCGGCCCTCCTGTGCGTCGGTGAGCTGCCCCGCCAGCGTGTCGGATGTGCCCGAGAAGACGTCAAATTCAAGAGACCGTAAACCCAAAAGACGAACAAACCGCTGCACACAATCACACACACAATCACACACACACACACAGAGGAACATGTGGTGACACAGATGGATGGGAGGCTGGAGGCCAGTCGTATGTATGTGTGTATGTGTGTATGTGTGCGCGTGTGGCCAGCTACCTGATACAGATTGAGCAGATTGACGATTGCGAGGAGGACGACAGCAATGGGGAAGTAGAGGTTGAGCTCGTCACTCCCAAACACAGGCACCACCCGCATCTGGCCGTAGAGCCCCTCGAAGGCCGTGTTGGGCACGTCGGCCAGCAGCACGAAGTGGAAGCACACGGGGGCGGCCAGTCGGCAGAAGGCGGCCGTGCAGAAGATGAGGCTGTTGGTGTCCGTGTTGTGGTTGGTGTACAGCCCGTACCACCCCGCCAGCTTGAGCTGGAACACGCCCCAGTAGGACGTCATCACCATGTAAGTCAGCAGAGTCAGAATCAGCGTGTGCAGCCCAAACAGACGGGCGGATTGCGAGGCAGACGACGAATCGTGCGGAGAAGTAGAGGGCGGGGGAGAGGGGGCCGTGGTGGGTTGGGCTGGAGACGATGAGCTGTCTTCGTCAGCCGTGGTCGCCTCCTCTGTGTCGTGATCCCCGAGGCGCCTCCGATATCGCTCCATGTCCCTCAGGTCGAAGAGCTCGGGCACCACAAGCGCAGCCGACTCGTCAATGTCCTTTTCCATCTGCAGTGGGCCGCCGGCATCGTCCATCATGCGGGGGTGAGGCTCCAGCCGGTCTGCGTCTGGCTCGTCTGCCCCGCCCACCACGTCCACCTCCACACCCATATCCACATCAACGGGCAAGAGAGAGGACGAGTTGCCAATAGCGTCTTCCTCAAAGTCGATGCTGTCCTCGCTGTCGTCCTCATCGATGCCCCACTCCCGCAGCAGCGCATCTGCCGTCGTGTTGGCCGCATCCACAGGAAGAGAGAGAAGGGATGACACATTGCGAGCAGACGGCTGAATGGGCTCGCTGCCGTTGGGGTGGGAGCTGGGCGGCTCGATGGGGGCGGCGGCAGGTTCTCGCGGCACGGTTGCGTGGATGGCCCATGCAAGAGGGGAGAGGTTGACCTTGTCCTGGGCGAACATGCTCGCCTCGCCGACCAGGATGGCCAGGCTGAGGATGGCCGCCGTCACACCCGCCATGAGGCAGACCGGCCGCCTCAGCTTCTTGTGCCACAGGGTCATCATCCGCCGCCTCTGCCGGCGACACCACGGCCCCTGCATGAAACACAGGGTGCCCCCCACGATCGCGGGCAGCGACCTGCTGCGGTGCACGCCGGCCGTCTCGGGATCCATCGGAGGAGACAGCATCATCGATGTGGCTGTGCCGCCCGAGCCGTTCACAGCTGCTGCTGATGATGGGGCCGCGCGTGTGGGGTCGGGAAGGAAGTAGCCAAAGTCGAGGAGCTCTTCGTGCAGCGGGCAGTCCTCATGCAGAGCGTCGTCGACCAGGTCCTCCAGGAGAAAGCACGTCTGGCAGAAGCGCTTCCATCGACACTCGGCGCGCTCTGCCTCCGCAAGACACCTCTTGACATCGGCCCGCAGGTTGATCAGCCGCTCCCGGCCGATGTCGCGGCTGGTGGTGGTCTCGCGGTCGCGGGCGGAACCGGACACGCTGCTCCCGCCCCCTGCGCGTGCCAGTGGGTGCCTCTCAACCATGTCGACCAGCTCGTCGACGTAGGGTCGGAGGGGGGATGATGGGTTGGTCTGCGATGCGACGGATCGGACCTTGCGGACGGCCTCGAGGAAGTCGTACTTGGCGCACAGCCTGGCCTCCTCGAGAGTGGTCGCCTTGATGCAGTGCTCGTACAGCATCTGGGAAGGGTTGGCCAGCTTGAACAGATGGCGGGGGATTGCGATAAGGCCATAACCTGAACAGCACAACACAACACGGGCAACAATGATGGGTGAGAGCTCCTAGCCGCTCTGAGTCCTTGCTGTAGAGGCGGACCGAGTAGCAGTGTGATGGCAAAGAGTCCCCATGTGTTTGCGATGGCGATGATGAGCCCCGACCAGTGTGTAGAAAAGTCCCCCTTGGGCGTGAAGCCCATGTATAGCGTCACCAGTGACGTGACCAGCAGGATGGCCATGTAGAACAGCAGGTTCTTGCGCAGCGCACGCTTCAGTCGGTCACGGAACGTGAAATCACCGGCCCTCTCGTACTGATTGACATGACAGATATCGTCATAAACCAGCCATCAGGTTGTGTGCGTGTAGGTGGCCACCTCTGCGAGAATGGGATATAGTATCCAGCAGAGAGCGAAGACGGTCCAGTACATGGCCTCCCACGCCTGTGGGAGGCCCTCAGTCGCCGATGGTGGTGATGATGCACCACCACCACCAACTGCTGACGAGCCCCCTGCAGCAGCCGTGAGAGTCAGCACCATGTCCAATGGCAGCGTCACCAGGATCGACAGAGATAGCACCAGACCTGAACACACAGCCAACACATCAGGAGGGAGCAGTGGCAGCCGAGACTGTGTGATTGGTTGTCTTTGTTGACCGACCTGAGAGTATGGCGAAGAAGGCGATCCATGAAACGTCGTGCCTTGCGTGGTGGGCGAGGACCAGCCAGCAGGACACCAGCAGCTCCAGGATGGTGGCCAGCGTCGTCACCACCTCCACCGACGCAAGCATCTCGGTTACTCGGTTTCGGCTGGCAATTAGGCAACGATAGATGCTAACCTCGAGCCATCACACCAGCACGGCCAAGCTCTGGTATTGGGTTCAGATTCACAGCGAGCTAATTCTCGACGGACGAGACAAGCTCGCACCAGGAAGGAGAATGAGGAGGACGGGTGGAAGCCCCGTCAGCGCTCCCGCTCACGCTCCCCTCAGCGCAGCCGTTCCACCCATGACGGCCGGCCGTCCAGGGATGTGTCACTTCTCCAGAGTATCAACTTCGACGGTACTCAAAATGCAGGCTGATGGTTTGACATATCCACTTCACCGTGTGTGGGACGTCCCGAAAGGACTCGACGTACGCCGCACTGTACGGATGAGCATTCACTCTCTTGCACATGGGTGTGTCTCAGCGGATTTTGCGGCGGCTCGTCAAGCATGAGGGCGGAGAAACGGTGGCCAAGTGCCGCAAAGTCGAGTCGCTCGGGCTGTTCCTGATCCAGCTGTGCGGCAACAAGGCGGTGGCAATGCAGAAGCTGATCAACACACAAGGACAGGTCGTCGAGTACGCCACTACAGCGTACTCGGTAAGTACCACTGACTGCCTGCCTGTGATTGTGGCGAACTGCTGACCTAGGCTATGCCTCTTGCTTGTTGTATTGCCTGCAGGTAAACATCACGCATGCCACCCCAGAGAGCAAGGATGAAAAACCACACTGGAGGAGCACGTGATGGGCCCGATGTGGCGGCAGTCCAGCCGGCTGCACCAGGTCGACGTGTCGATCGTGCCGCACAACAAATGCTGGCACGCCTTGTAGCCGCCCTGTAGCCCGGCAGCGCAGCAGAGACAGGCATGGTAGCTATGGGTGGCTGCCTGACTATCGCTCGCTCGGTAGCCTACTTGCTGGAAGCTGGGAGCTCTCTCTGTCTGTCTGTCTGTCTGTCCTTTCCTCTCTGCGTTCCTTCTCTCTCCTCTCTGTGTGCATCCCTACGTCCCTCCCGCCCTCCAACCACCAGCCGGCATAAGTATTTTTGGAACCCGCTATAATGCGGCCTCCCTGGTGGTGCGGAGGAGTGAGTGGAGTGGATGTGAGGCGGTGTGTCTATCGCTACCTACATTTTATATCCGTGGAAGGTTTTTGAGCGTTCTTGAGGTCTCTTGGTGGGTGAATGCTCTTCTTTTGTGAGTGCATGACCGAGCCACAGACACAGAGAGCTGGACAGAGACATGCAGTCGGGTGCATTACATTAACCGAGCGCATTGAATGTGGAGATTGGATGGACCCTTTCGACGATTCAAACTGTGGAACGTCTCATGAGATCGGTTCCCATCAAAAACAACTCATTCGACAGATTCCGTCCGTCCATTTGTCACGCATATACACACACTGAGGATCGTCTTGAAAGGGAATGAGAGGGATGAATGAAATATGGATGGCGTCTATGGAATGGTGTGTGTGGCCGGCAGCAAGCAGCTCATTCCTCCTCCTCTTCCTCTTTCCATTCCTCTTCTTCGTCGCTTTCTTCGTCTTCGAAGTTGTCGTATTCTCCCTCATACTCGGCAGTGGCAGTAGTGGTCTGGTTGGTCTGCAGCTCACTGCCCGTGTGCCCAGCCTCCATGGCCTGCAGCTTGCGGCAGTAGGCCGCGGGGTCGGCAGAGTAGAGGGGCTTCATGGTCTCATCGCTGCCGGCCGTCCACTTCTTGCCGCGGCGGGTCCACAGCTGGTTGTAGAACGGCGCACTGCACCATCATCGAACATCACACAACACGCCACCCTCTCTCCATGTGTGTGTGTGTAAATGTGTGTGTCGTCTGTTGCTGTCTGACTGACCCGTCGCCCTCCTTTGATGCAATAAGGGAGAAGAGTTCGACTGTGCGGGGAAGCAGGGAGACATCTCCCGTCTCGACGTATTGACGCATCAGCCGGTTGGCCTCGATGGAGGCGGGGCAGAGGGGTTGGCCGTGGACGCAGCTCTGGTACCAACACACACCCTGCAAAGACAACACAAAGCAGACAAAGATCTTGCAAAACGAGGGGTGTGAGGGATGGGTGTGAGAGCTTACATAGTCGAAGTCAGATCCAGGATCTCCCGTCCGTCTGCCTGGCGCAGGACCCTTAGCCACATTGCCGGGCATCCAGGTCACTGCAACACGGAGCTGAAGAGGGAACGAAACGAACAAACATCCACCGTTCCATGCATCATCGAGAAAAGGCACCTTTTTGCGGAACTCCAGTTCGATGGGGTCGCTGGGGTCCTTCATGAAGTCCTTCCACTCCTGGACATCTGCCGGAGTGGCTCGGTTCTCCACGAATCCGCTGTAGTTGGGGGCGTGCTCTGCCAACACGTTGACGAACTTGCGGATCGCCTCCTGGCCCTCCTTCGGACACACGGCCTTATTCCACCACTGCAAAGCAGCACACAAGAGGTCACGAAGCTCATGCAGCTGGGCCTGGTGCAGATTGACCTTGACAAGAAGGCTCTTTGGTATTATGTGGTGGTAGGTGATCATCTCCCCAGCTTCTTTCTGTCTTTTGGCGTAGGGGCGGGCCTTCTTGATCGCGTCGTAGTTGATGCCCAGATTCCCAGCACCTGCAGATCAGAGATCAGAACACGGCAAAGATCCATGCAGATCCCGGCGTCGCCGTTTTGTGCTCCCCCACCGCCGTGCACAACACCTGGTGCGCATCTGCGTGAGGCGAGCCCCATCATCCGAGCCGCGGAGGCCGTGGGATGTGAGTGAAGATGTGAGGATGAAGAGGATGGACAGGATGGACAAAAACAACAAGAATGCCTTGGAAAACGACATCTTCAAACAGCGGTGGGGATGGTGCGTGGTGGGGGAACGGGGAGGCGGGGTCTGATCAGTTTGTAAATTTCGGTTATGGAGAGCGCACTGATGAGTCCGCAAAGATCAGGAGGGAAGGCCCGGCAGGCAGTCCGCTGAAATGCGGCTCTGCTTAAGGTGCAGTAACGAGAGAAGATCTGGGCGCGCATCTGCTGTATCTTCTCTCTGCAATGCTGTCAGGCCGCTATGTGTGCTGGTGCTGCGCCTCCTCCAGGCTCGTCCCGTCACCAGGAGCAGTGCAGTCGAGGCGACACCAATCCTGCAGTGAGCACGGCTCATGGATAAGGAAACGGATGGATGCACACCGCATCTCTCTCTTTTCTGTTTGGTCAGATACCCGTCGACTCCTCCCGGCCATGATTATATGAGCGTAGTAAGCGTCGCCCGGCCCGCTGACATCCACATGTGTGTCTGAATGCTCCTCCTTCCTGCCCGTAGGATGAAGCGCTCAGCCGCATCGGCCACAATCTTCCTTTGGACCTCAGGGCCGCCCTCAGCCGGGGCAACAATGCCACGACTGTCACAGTCCCCCTCTCCTCATCCCTGGCCGCCATCAACACCACAGCCACAGCCACAGCTACAGCCACATCCACATCAAATGGCACCCTCAGAGATATCGCAGTCGGGTCCCCTTTGGCTTTCATCGAGAGAGTGCCGACAGGCCACGGCCAGGGTGTGTCGGGCGTCACTAGTGTGGAGCTAACGGGGTCGTTCAGATCTGACCCCTCATCTTCTGCCGGTGATGGCGGCATAGCGGCGTTGAGCGGGGCTGCCCGCATGGCCAACCCTAAAGAGGCGCTGCAGAACCTGAATGATATTATTGAACGGACGCAGAGGGGGCTTGACGAGGCGTCGGTCATGTGCGCGTCCGAGACAGAGACGGCGGAACGCCTCTATGAAGAGCAGGACAGGTGAGCGTCCGCGTGCAGATGAACTGTGTCGACCGATCCTTGTTGCATTCAGGGAGCTGACCCGGCTCTCTTCGACTTTGGCTGACGCTGAGGCTCGCCTGGCGCAGTCCAATGCGAACACTCACCGCGGGAAGGCACAAATACAGGAGCTGCAGCTGCACCTGCACGACTTTCAAAAGGTATGTATGGTATGCGTATCTTGTGTAGTGTGCGCCATGCACGCACACAAACGCGCAACACACTTCGGTGCTTGTGGCTGGCTTGCTGTTTGTAGAGTTGTCAGCTGTCAAAGGCGGAGAACACCCGGAAGCTCAACGACCTCAGAGACGACCTGGCCGTAAGCTAACCGACATGAAACACCTCCAAGAGGGCTGTTGCTCCTTTGCTGTTCCTCCCGTCTGCAGAAGGCGAAACACGCTGTCGGTCTGAGCGGCTGCAAGAGGAAGAATACTGGCTCAGCCGCGTCTCTTCTCCAGTGCCACTCGCCATCCGGCAAGGCATTCCTCGCCCTGGACGCCAACACAATACAAGCCCACCTACGGGAACTCAAGACACCACACGCACTGCAAAGCCTGCAAAGGGCCCTCGTCCAAACGGGCAGGTTGCTCGTCATGCCGACTGCTCCGGGCAGACGGACTGGGCAGCTGCGTCGGCAACAAGGCGGTCGTCAGCGCGGCCATGCGTTCGTCAGCCGGCACAACGTGTCTCTACATCTCCATTCCCAGCATAGACATTACCACAGGAGGCACAGACGGCACGGCAGGGGCAGAGGACGATGGCGCTTGTACCGGAGACACAGACACCGGCACCACCGTCTCCATCACCACCGAGCCGGGCGTCACATCCACCAACTCGCCGACCAGACCAGCAGCAACAATACGGCAGATGCCGTGTCTGTGTCTCGGTCGACGGTGCTTGTGTCTCGGGCTGCCGAGGCGAACGATACAACGGCCCCTGAGGGCCCAGTGAAGAGCGGGGCTGTACAAGTGGACTTGGAGGGGTACATGAAGAAGTGCGTCGTGGTTGGAACACCCGACTGTGGGCAGTTCAATGACAACATGGCATACATGGTGGGTGGCGGGCGGTGGGGGGGAGTGGTGGGCAACAGGCTGCTGAATGAGCATTGTGCGTGTGTCTGTGTCTGTGTCTGTCTGTGTCAGATTGGATCGATCGAGGCAGCCGCGATGGAGCTGCAGGCCCAGATGAACGAGGAGGCCAACAACTGCCGAAAGGCCAGGTAAGTGACAAGCCGCTTGGACACACACAAAGCTCATAAGCTCATACACACACATTGCTCGCATCTGTATTTCTCAGGACCCGTTACAATGAGGAGATAGAAGACTGGTCGGTCACAGTGGGCAACCTCGAAGCAGAGCTCGCCAGTAAGTGAAATCGCGCGCCAACCACCCCCAGCCCCCACCCTGCTGCCCTCCATCTGGTGTTCCAGAAATCGTGGCTGAGCTGAAGACCCTCCGAAGACAAGTTCGCGATAAAGAGTAAGGACACACATATGGCGAGCGGGCCGCGGACAATGGTTTGCCCTCTCCCAGGTTGATGGTGGCCACGCAGCGGCGACAGAAGGACGTGACGGCGAGGTCCTGCTCAGCCGACATCAAGAAGGCGCTCGAGGAAATATGCGGCGCCAGAAGGTACACATGAACAACAACACACGCCGTCTGAGAGATTTCTCTCTGCATCGCAACCACAATGCCCGCATATCTGTCAGGTTACGCAAAGAGGTGGCCATGCTGTCGGGAGACAACACGCTTCCATCGCGCTTCCAAGACGGCCAGGTGTCCCATTATTCAATCATCGTGTGCCTATGTCCATGCTCACTGCGGCTGCGGCTCTCTCAGGTCGGCAACTGGACGGTGGGCCCGTGTTCGAAGTCCTGCAAAACCGACAGCAGTGACTCACCAGGCCAGCAGGTGCTCACCAGGGTTGTCGTCGCGCCGGCCGGCCCCATGAGCGCCAAGTGTCCGCAGCTGGAGCTGAGGAAGCCATGCAATGACGTCATGTGTCCCTTTGTCTACCCACTGGGGGAAGGTCACAGTGGTGGGAGACCATCCCTGCATCGCTACAGCCGTGCATGCAACCGAGTCTTTATGTCTGTGTGTCAGGAGTTCTTGTTCCGCCTCGTGTGGCGGTGGGGTCCGTCAGCGGATCCGGGAAGTGCTGTCTGTCACCGGCGATCGGGACTGCACGCCACCCGCACAGCCCCTTCAGGACATAGAGGTGAGACAGACATGTTTGTGCTGGCCACCACAGGTGCAGTACAAAAATGAGGTCTATGTGTGTGGTCAGATATGCAACACGGCCAGCTGCAGTCCCGACTGCAAGCTTGGCGGCTGGGGCAACTTCTCGCTCTGCGACAAATCTTGTGGAGGGGGATTCCAGTTTTCAAAGAGGTAATTGACGACGCACACAGACGCGAGACGCACATATGGGCCCCTCTTATTTATCTCGTGCAGGCCTGTGATTGAGGAGGCACGAAGTGGCGGCAGCTGTCCAGGGCCCCGAGCACACGAGCGGCTGAAGCGTCGGCCATGCAACCAACATCCCTGCCAGGACTCCATCAAATGCGCCACTGAAATGGACCTCGTCGTTCTGGTGAGTGACCTGAGAGCGAGACGCGACTTTTGCAGCCCACCATCTGTTCCGCCATGATGTATGCATGTGTGGGTGCAGGTGGATGGGTCTGCCTCGATGACTGCCGGCGGCTTCTCTGCTGTCAAGGGCTTCCTCAAGACCCTCATCGGCAGAATGACTCTCAGCGGCAAACACGTCAAGGTACGCACGCATCAGAAGCACAGGCCAGCTGCGTCGCGGCATTGCTCTCTCCATCTGGATGCAGGCGGGTTTGGTGCTCTTCCACGATATGGGGGTGGTTGCGTCCGGCCTCACTGCTGACGAGGCTGCTTTGAAGACGGCTGTGGGCAACCTGGACTTCCCTGCGTGGACGAGCAACCTCGCCCAGGCCATGGAGATGACGCAGCCCATTTTGATGGAGGGAAGGTCTGAAGCTGTGTCGGCCGTCTTGGTCATCACCGACGGCAAAACCAACGACGCGTGGCTGACCAAACAGGTCCACTCCACACACACACGGATGGATGGATGTAGCTGCGGAAATGTGATGTCTCTTCCCTTCTACCCTCCGTGTTTATGTCTGGTCCAGGCGTCAGGGCGTCTGAGGCAGCGGGGTGTGCGGGTGGCGTCCCTCATCATTGGAAACGACGCACCACAGGTAAACACGAGGACTCTCTTACACAGAGGGCAACAGGGGGCGTCTTGTGTGCTGGTTGCCGGCTGGGATGTGTGTAGGAAGAGGTCAGCGCTTGGGTGTCGTACCCCTCATCACACAACATCGTTATCGCTCCGGCGTTCGAGGACCTGGCGAGGAAAGAGCTGGTGACCAACCTGATAGCCAATCTGTGCCCCGTCGTCACGTCATAGCTCTATCGGCACCGACACAGCTGGTACACTCAGACTTTTACTCGCCTCTGGTCAGCCGGTCATTGTCGTCGATCGCAGAGACACCTGTCCTGTCAGCGGGTCATCAATTGTTTTGAAGTTGGGTGCATGTGTGTGATGGATGGATGGACAGACATTCGTGTAGGGAATGAATCGATGGTAGGGTGGCTATGTGGCAGACAGACTGCCCCTCAACGCAACTCTATGCCGTGGTTTGGATCAATAGTCTGTTGAGTGAGGGACCTGCACACGCAGCTGTCTCAGCATCAGTGTCAGTCACTCGACGCACACGACAGCCAGCCAGCCAGCCAGCCATCATTCTCTGAAGGGCCACACCACCGCTCCACACACATGCACACACGGCAGCCATCCATCCATCCATCCATCTATCCATCCAATGGCCCTCTTGGACGCCAACGGCCCATCAGACGCTCCATGCACGCCCATACGTACCTCTCTCGTGCCACGCGATAGAAGATGAAGTGCTGATTGAGGTACGGGTCGTTCTCCATGACGGCCGACGGCGTTGTGATGGCCGCCATCGCAATTGCACTGTGGAGCCTTCGCTGCGGCATCGGCTTCAAACGAGTCGCATCTGCAATGACTTCTCTGACTGGTCCATGGCTTCGACGATATTTCTTCGACGAAAACAGAGGTGAGGACACTGCCGCTCAATAGGCTGTGTTCTGCGTCCCGAAGGCGCGGCAAGAGGTAATGGCTGAGAAAGGTTTCGCGAGGGATGCGAGCTTTTGGCCTGGAAGGTGGGAAGGGACGAGGCTGTGATCTAGGCTGCAGTCCATGGGTGAGGAGTCCGTCGATGTCGCCCCGTTCTTGGGACCAGCCTCCCATGTGTCGAAATGGGTCTTCACGAAGGATGAGCTGCAGCGGAGGAGGGCTGCCGCCAACCAAGATGCCTGCGGGAGAACAAACGAGGCCATCGACCACGGTGAGTGTGAGCAGCTGCAGCTGGCGCGCCATGCAGTAATGAATGTGTGGCTTTCGCTTCATCTTGCGTGTGTGTGCTGCTGGTGGGGACAGACAGGAAGCTTCGTCAGCAGCGAGATCAGGGTGAGCGTCTGGCGGTGTCGCTTGAGGAGGAGCTGATGCTGACGTCCTACTACAGCCACCGCCTCCTCAGCCTCTGTGATCACAAGAAATACAGCTTCAGAGTCAAGGTGGGTGTGACCCGGCAGACAGGCAGGAGGGGAGCACTGTATGGTGTGTTCTTGGTTGCAGACGACTTCCACGATGTTCTTCAAGCGGTTCTTCGTCAACCGTTCCTGCATCGACTACGACCCCCTGCAGATACTGTGAGCGAGCGAAAGAGCGACAGTGTCAGTCAGCCCTCCAAGAGCGAAAGAGCGCATCCGTATCTATGTGTGTGTGTCAGTGTGGTGTGCATCGTGTTGGCGCACAAGGTGGAGGAGCTCCACGATGAGGACCTCAAGGCTCTCATACACGGACTCAAGGTCCCCCTGAAGGGTGGGTGCGGAGAAGCAGACAAGCAAGACAGACAGCACTAATGCACATTCGTTTGGGCTGTGTGTGTGTGTGTGTGTGTGTGTATTGGTCAGTGATAGTTGACCTCGAGATAGAGGTGCTTGAGGCGCTTGACTTTGAGCTGCTCGTCACCCACCCACGATTCGCCATCCGAGAAATGGTCGACGACTACCACACGGTCAGCACGAGTCGGTGAGAGGGTGGGGTCGGTGAGGGCGTGGGCATGGCACTGTATGTCTGATTTATTTATTTGTCAGTGGTGTGGTGAGCACGCGGTGCCTCAGTTACAGAAGGAGGATGCACTGCAGCTGGTCGAGGGCGCCGAAGGACTCGCGCTGCAGCTATACGAAACCGAGTCAGTCAGACGACGCCACACTGTCGCCCACACAATAGATAAATAAATGCCTCCGTCCATCCATCGTGTGTGTGTATACTGACTGACCCCCATGCCTCCCTCCGTTGCTGTGCTGTCCTGTGTTGACATCCCCAGCATCCCCCTGCTATGCACACCAGCCCATATCGCCGTGGTGAGCGTCAAAATCACAGCCGAGAACAACAAGCTCGATCTCAGTGACAAGTAGGGAGGGACGGACGGACCGGGTTGGTGGGCAAGGGCCCTTCTGTCAAACAGGACTCATTAATGTGTGGCTGCCCTCTTCACGGTTGCAGGTTCATTGAGGAGTGTTTCGCATCGAGAGGGGTCGAGCTCGCCGCTGTCGAGCAGAAGGTCAAATTCATCAGGGTGAGGCCGGCAGCAAGACTGTCGACTGATGGATGTGTGTGTGGGTGTTGTCTGTCTCAGGATGCAGCAGCGTCGATCAAGAGGCATGGGACAGACAGCCCAGAGGCGACGAAAGAACAGGCAGGACATTGACACGCACAAGGAAGGCATGACATGACAGCCATCGATAGATTGTGTGTGTATGGGTGCAGGAGGCGGCAGCCAAGATCTTCAAGCGGTGTCAGAGCTGCAGGAAGGCCATCAAGAGGCTTCGGCATCACAAGGAACAAAGCGCAGAGTACGCAAACACACACACACACGGCAGGCGCAGCGCGCCTCCATTGACCTGTGCGGTGTGATCTGACCTGGGCAGGTCGGTAAAGGCGGGAGGCGTCAAGACAGAGGGTGACAACGGCAGCGAGAAGAAAGGCAAGCGCGACAAGAAGGAGAAGAAGCGCAAACACGGAGGTGAATGCCGACACGGCACATCACCGAGGCAGCAACACAGACATGCAACGAACGACCTGTCTCCCTCCCTCCCTTGCTTGCCGTGCGCACCGATCAGATGTCGCCTTGGGTGGTGATGCGACGGACGACGTCAAGCGGCTCAAGATTGAAGACGACCGACCACAGCCATCGCCGTCAGATGGCTGAGAGTGGCTGATATGATTGATGTTGGATGAACGGTCCGATACTTGTGGATACGCGCGAGGGGGATGGATCTTTTCATACCCCCTGTGATGACCAGTTGAATGAAATGATGCAGGGCAGGGACACGAGCAGCTGAGTGAGATGATGTGAAAGGGGCAATCACAGCTGCGCTGAGTGTCTGTACGTGCCATGCATGTGCGCAACGCATCCCACACACACGGATGGATGGATGGATGGACGGATGTACCTGTCTGTTGTGGGAGTGACTCATCATTCTCCCTGAAGCCATCAATCACCTACACACGTTGTCGTTCATCATCATCATCCAATGAGATTTTGCGTTCTGGTCTGTGGTCGTGTGGTGGCTGGAGCACTAGGGCAGAGTCGACTATGTTGGCGGTAGGCGCCTTTGCAGTGAGAGGCAACAAATAGTCCTTCAAGAGTGAGTGAGTCACCGGCACACATCACACACACAAGCCAGCTGTACACTCATCCATCTACCACACGCCCATCGACAAGCCTGGCCAGCAAACCATGGCAGCAACCCCCCTCGTCCAGTCTACACACTCCTCCATGCAGAGAGGGAACAAATAGTCCTTACGTGAGCGACAGAAAAAGAGAAAGCGAGTCAGTCACCACCAACACACGCACGACCCAGCTGTACACTCCATCGACCAGCCAGCAGACCATGGCGGCAATCCCTCTCATCCAACCACTCCTCCGCACCACCAGGGAGGCCGCACATTACGCGGGCACCAAAATTACTTAAGCCGGCTGGTGGTTGGGCAAGGGAGGGAGGGAGGGCGGGAGGGAATGCACACAGAGAGGGAGAGAGAAGGGAGGGAGAGAGAGAGAGAGAGAAAGAGAGAAAGGCACGGCAGCCGCAAAGGCAGCCAGTAGGCCAACGAGCTAGTCAAGCAAGCAGCGATCCAGCCATCCATCCATCTACCACCTGCCCACCATCCCTGTCTGCTGCCGGGCAAGCGGGCGGCTACAGGCCGTGCCAGCACTTCTTGTGCGGCACGACCGACACCTCCACCTGGTGCAGCAGGCTGGACTGCTGGCACATGGGCCCCATGACGTGCTCCTCGAGTGTGGTGGAGGTGGTGACGGGGATCTTGGGTGGGGGGCCCTGGCTGGCGCGCTTGAGCTCCTTCAACTTGCTGCACACACGCAGCGCAGAGAGAGACCACATGCAATCAAGGCATAATTGGTGGATGGATGGCGTGGGGCGCCCATGACTGAGTGAGTGAGGGAGTGGCTGACCGACCGCTTGGCGATGTCTCCGAGGTAGACGGCGGCGTACTTTGGCTTGAAGACGTCACTGTCCGCCAGGCGCCTCCCCTTCTCACGGGTCACGTACACCTCCACGATGGGCGGCGCGAAGGTGGTAGGGGGGCGGCTGGAGCCCTGAGCACGCACCTGGAGCTGCTCAACCCACAAACCAAGCTCGGCCTGAGAGGGAGGGGACAGGACACACACACACACACACACACACACATTCACACGGTCGCAGCGGAAGGGTGGGTGGGGTGGGGAGGGGTGGGCGCTTACGCAGGACAGTATCGTCGTATTTTTCGGTATCTTGGTGACAAAGCTGTCCGTCACGGTGGCCGCCACCCGCACCACGTCAAACATCGACTGCATTAAGCGGACCATCCATCCATCCATAGGCGTGTGGTGTGCCGTGTTTCTCTCTGTGTGTTGTGCTTATCGGATGCATTGCAATGCATACCAGGCTGCCGTCGGCCATGTGGGCGAGATCGTAGGTCTTCTGAGTCAGATATCGACGGCCGCCCCAGGGGGGGTCGATGACGGCCTGCACAGCACAAACACATCCGCATGATGGACGGACGTGTTGGCCTCTGTGCAGATGGGTGGGTTGGTGAGTATGTCGTGTGTCGACTGACTGACCAGGTCGGCCTTGAAGTCGTAGTTGTCCTACCGGTCTACTACGGACTCGTAGTCCTCGGGCAGGGCAATGACGGGCTCCACACCTGCACACCCATCCACACACACACACAAACACACACAGGGTGGTGGTGAGCGAGGGGTCTGTCTCTTCCTTCGTTGTATATTGCTACCGTATTGTTTGGTGTTGTGCTCGAGTATCTCCACGTGCTCGGCTTCCTTATCCATACTATACACGCTGAGGCCCTCTCGCAACATTGCTATGGTATCCCCCCCTGCGCACACACACATACACAAGCACGACACACGAGGCATTCCGTCAGTCACATGTAGTGGATGTATGCGTGTGTGCCATTTGTGTGTGTACTGTATTATGTGTGTGTACCTGCCCCAGCAAAAAGGTCGACCACTGTGCCCTTGGGGTATAGCTGGCTGCAGCTGGCCGCCTGGTGGAGGGCGATGGCCTCTGGACTGATACTATATCTGGTCCACACACATACAACATGCACATCCATGGACCCTCTTCTTCGCCTCCCTCCCTCCCTCCCTCCCATGTGTGTCGTGTCGCTCCCTTACGTCATCTCGTCATTCAGTTTGATAGGCCTGGTCGCCAGCCATCGCTGTCTCGCCTCCTTGCCCTTCCCAGCCGGTCCCTCTATGATTATTACCTTCACGAACACCGAACCCTGCACAGCCACTCGGTGGGCGGCCTCGATGGCCTCCAGCTCCTGGCGCGTCGCCAGCCACATGGCGGAGGTCGTGGCGGGGTCGGGCCATGTGGTGGTCATGGCTGAGTTGGTGGCCGGTGCGGCCGTCTGGTCTCCCGCCTTCTGCAGCACCGTCGCCTCCCGGGCCATACCCTCCTGCAACTCCCTGCACACATCAACACACATTCACACGGACTCGTTTGTGCAAGTGTATAAAGTGAAAGGCTCGTTTAGCTTGTGAATGTGTACCGCTTGGCCGCCTCGATGCGCTGTATGTAGGTAACCATGGCCTCTGCCTCCCTCCCTTGCTGACTCTGCACATACCCACACGCCATGCCACGATAGGCACACGGAGAGATGGATGAATGTCATGGATGTGCCGGTGCAGACGTGTGTGTGTGTTGGGGGTTAGTGGGGGGGTGGGGGGGTGGCGTACGCACCTCGGCCTTCGGTGTGGCGGTGACGGGCACCTCGTTGCCGTCGGGGAACATGCAGGTGCTCTTGCCGTGCATCTTGCCGTTGACCCCGTCGCTCTCGTACTCCACCACGTTGTCCTTGGCGCTCACGGGCGTCTCCGCGCCCTCGCCGTGGCCCTTGTCGTTGCGCCACTGGCCCTGGTACACGTCACCCTCGAAGTAGCGGTAGGTCCCCCGGCCGTGCATCGTGCCGTCCACCCAGTCGCCCTCGCACTCGGCTCCTTTCTGGTAGGTCAGCTTGCCCTCGCCGTTGATGCGGCCGTGCTCCCACTGGCCCTCGTAGCGGTTGCCGCTCGCAAACAGCGCCGTGCCGTGGCCGTGGATGCGGTCGTCGACCCACTGACCCTCGAACAACTCACCCTCGTCCTCGTACTTCTCGTGCCCTGCACACCACACCACACCACACCACACCATGACACGTGGACCGATGGATGGATGGATGGATTTGTTCCCGTGTGCTCGTGTTACTGGCTCACCGTTGTGTTTGATGACAGAGCCGTCGGCCAGCATGAGATCAGCCTTAAGGAACGCGGCCGGCGGCGGGCTCTTGGGCACCAGCTCGGCGACTAGCATGTCCATGATAGACATTGGTGGCTCCTCGTCCTCCGCCTGCACGCGGCCATTCAGAGAGAGAGAGAGAGAGAAGATGAAATGCGGCCCGAGAGTGGGGGAGATGGGCAGAGGGTGACGTGTACAGCTGGGTGACATAGAAATGTGCGCTTTTCCTGACCATCTTGGTGTTGGTTTGTGTGTCGTTCGGCCTCCCTATCCCTCTCATCAGATACCCCCACAGTCCCCTGCCAGACAGCACGCGGCAGCCACTTGAGGAACGGAGTGCACCACCTGGCCTTGCTCTCGCCTCACCTGACGTAATCCATCTGTATCCTTATCTGTATCAATCACTCAGTCAGACAGACCTGCACCACACAGCACACAGACAGCAAAGGCACTCATTCGGCGTCACGTCCGATGCAGTGCAGCGCCACACATCATCATGATGGCGTGAATGCAGGAAAGAGATGTCAGCGGCCTTTTCCCCTTTGGCCCCTCCGAATACTCACCGTTATGGTCTCCTCTCTCGCCTACGAGGGCTCACTCTACTCGGGCTCACTCGCCGCTGAAGGTTTTTATGCTGCTGAAAGGCGCACTGGCAGTTGGCGCGCTCGATGTCATCTCTCGTTTTCAGCAGCCAGAAGCTTAATTTGCTCTGCAGCCGCGGTGACCTGGGGAAAGGCGCGATCGCGATCATCCGTGAAATCGCTCTCTTTGGAGAGGCAGTTTCGCGTGACGGTGGAGGCCTCGCCACGCTTCGTCGGTGCTCATTCTCCACAGCTGTGTTTGGCTGGATCGCCGACAGCGGCATCAACGAAGGGACGGTGCAGCCACTGATTAGCTGCTGATCCGCGTCTTGGTCGTTGGCCAAACAGAGAAGGGTCTGTCTGTCTGTTCAACGAAGTGTGTCAGAGGCCATGGCGTCGCCCCCGAGTGATCCGGGCGGCATCACGCGGCGGCCGAGCTGTTTCATCCTTGACTTTTCCATGACGGGAGAGCGGGTGGAGCAGCGGTATGAGATTGACGTCAAGGCGATTGGGCAGGGCAGCTACGGGTCGGTGTGCAAGGCCAGGGACAGGGACACCAACGTGATGAGGGCCATCAAGACCATCGGCAAGCGGAGGCTCAAGAACAACAGGGACATCGAGCGGTTCAGGAGGGAGATCCTGCTCATGAAACGAATGGTAGCAAGGGGAGGGGAGGAGGAGAGGGAACGGGCTGAGTGATCTGTATGATTGTCGTCTGTGCCTTCCTGCTTGTGCGTGTCAGAACCACCCCAGCATAGTGAAGCTCTACGAGGTCTATGAGGACAATGAGTACATCCATCTCGTGCTCGAGCTCTGTGAGGGAGGAGACCTCTTTGACAGGTAGGTGCGTTGTCTCACACGCACACACCACCCCGCTCGCTGTGGTTGTCACTTTGCTGGCTGTTTGCCCCAATGAAATGAATGTCCGCACACGTGTCGGTCTGTCAGAATGGTTGCGGTGCACCACTACAGTGAGCGTGACGCGGCGCTGATCATGCGTCAGATCCTCTCGGCCCTTCACTACTGCCACATCAACGGAATCGCACACAGAGATGTCAAGCCGGAGGTGCGCACAGAAGCTACACACAAAGAGACCAGCAGAGGCAAGGCCGCTCTCTCTGCTCTGCTCTGCTCTGCTTTGTTGTCTGTCTGTTTGTGCATATATCAGAACTTTCTGTTTGAGAGGAGCGATTCGCTGGACAATTTGAAGATGATCGATTTCGGGCTGGCGTACGAGTGCCGAGACGAGGCCGGCAACAAGATCGGCATGAGAACACGGGCGGGCACACCGTACTACGTGTAAGCACGATAGAGGGGGAGAGAAAAGGCAGATATGGATGGATCGGCACCTCACCTCATGCTATGCGTGTGTGTTATGCTATGTCACGCTCCTGCTCTCTCTTGTCAGTGCTCCGGAGGTGCTGCGGGCTGCATCGGCCGCATATGACGAGAAGTGCGAGTGAGTACTGTACGACAGACAAGAGAGGAAGGCACTGCTCTCTACACAAAGGAAGGAACGAACGGCTGGCTGGCCGAGTGGATGTTGCAGCTTGTGGTCATGTGGGGTGGTGTTGTTCATGCTGCTCTTCGGGTACGCGCCCTTTTCGGGCCCCAACGACCGCGCCATTCTGGACAAAGTTCTCAAAGGCCAAGCTGACAAGGACCCCGTGGCGTGGGAGACCATCAGCGAACCAGCCAGGGACCTCATCGACAGACTCATCCAGTCGGACCTCAATAAGCGAGTCGACGCTGGAAAGGTCACACCGAATAGGAAGGGAAAACACGCACACACACGGGTGTGGTGTTAATGGTGCTTGCATCCCTCCATCTATCCCTGCATTGCGTCAGGCTCTGAAGCACGAGTGGATAGACAACTGGGCGCATGTGCCCGAGGCGCCGCTGAGCCCCAAAGTGCTGTCCCGGATGCGCAAGTTCGTGGCCATGCCCGCCCTCAAGAAGGCGGCCTTGCAGGTCATCGCCTCGCAGTGCTCGGGTGCGCACATACGACCAATGAAATGAAGGCCAGCTGTCTCGGTGCCCTACTATGTGCGTTTTCCGCCTTCCTTTGCCCGCTTCCTTCCCCACCAGGTGACAAGATTCAGGATTTGCAGCTGGTGTTTCAAAACCTCGACAAGAACAACGACGGCTCCATCACACTGCAGGTAGGTGATCGAGGTCAACACCAATCACACCGCCCGCCCGCACGAGTGAGTGGACACGTCCCATGTGTGTGCCACGTGCAGGAGTTTCGCGAGGGCCTCAACAAGACGGGCATGGCCAGATACTTCCCAGACAGAGAAAAGATACTCAAGGTGGGTGGGTAGGGCAGACAGACAGACACGACGCGACCGACGCCAAGCAAGCCGCCATGGCGGGGCTCATTGACCACCATGCGGCCCTCCCTCCCCTCCTCTCCGTGTGTGTCCCTAGTCGATCGACTGGGACGGGTCAGGCGTCATTGACTACACCGAGTTTGTGGCGGCCGCGCTGGATCACAAGATCTGCGTCCAGGAAGAGGTCCTGCTGCAGGCATTTCGAGTGTTTGATGTCGGTACGTACGCGGCCATCAGCCACGGGACTGGCCAGTGGTCCCCTCGCTCACTCATTGTGCACTTGCGATGTGTGTGTGTTGTCAGACGGTGACGGCGTCATAACGGCGGCTGAGTTGCGTAAGGTGCTGATGACCGACAGCGTCAAGGCCGCGTGGGGAACCGAGCCGATCGAGGATTTCCTCAAGGACGTCGACACCAACCACGACGGCAAGATCGATTTTGACGAATTCAATCAGATGATGAAAACTCGCATACCAGCCACCGGGTAAATGACGACCGTTGCACCTCCCTTTCATGTCTGCAGGTGCATGTCTCTCTGTGTCTGGTCTCTCTTCATCTCTGTGTGTGTGTGTGTGCAGGACAACGCCCCGCGGCCACACTCCCTTCCCCTCCCCGACAGCCGGCGACGTTCCGTGCTCGTCGCTCTCGATGCCCGCGATGTCCGTCCAAATGCACCCACAGAAGCCCCTCGACGACCTCATCCCGCCATTCCTCGCCGGCCACGACGGCTCGCTCGTCCCCGCAGACATGGATATCAGCAGCGACGCCGACAACTTCTTCTACTCGCTCGGGCCGCCCACCACCACCACTGGCGCCCCCAGCTCCAACAACCCCAGCAGCAACATGCTCGGACCGCCTTCATCGGCTGGCGGCTCACCGCCGCCTTCACACCAGCCCTCCCAGCAACAGCAACAGCAGCAGCAGCGGCAGCCGCTGCCATTGCTGGCGTCACCGCTTCCCAGCACAACAGCTGCCAGCACAGTGGTGCCGCCCGAGTCACCGCCCCCCACCAAGAAGCACAAGGGCCGCAACGGGAGCAACGTGACGATGCACTCGGCGGGCGGGGAGTCGCCGCACACGAGTGTGGCCTCGCCCATGCAGAACAGAGGGGACAGGGAGGCGTAGTGGGGTGCGATGGGGCGAATGGTGCGGTGTGGGCGGTTCTGGTTGGTGTGGGTAAGTGTTCGTACGTTCGTTCGGGTGCGCGTTGGCCATGTCAGGTTTCAGTCAGCGCTGTATGTATGCTGTGCCGTACCTACCGTCCCCCCCGCGCACACACGTGCGGGGCGCGGGGCGCTCTTTTTGTCGGTGTACTTTGCCGCTTAATGAAGGGAGGAAAGGGTGTTGCTTGAATTGAAGAGTGAATGGTGTACTTGTAAGTGGGTCCGTCAGTCCGAGTGCCGGTGTGGGTATGGTATGTGCCTGTCGGTGTGTATCTGTCTGTCTGTCTGTCTGTGGCGGCCCTTGCACTGCATTGCAGCCTGACGTTCCGGCGCATGCACATGATCGTGGGTGGATGCGTGTGTGTGTGAAGTGAAGGTCAGGCGGTGTGTGAAGTGAAGGTCAGGCGGTGATGGTGTCAATCAATCGGACTGACTGTGTGATGGTGAGGGGTCAATCGGACATCGAATGGACGGACTGCAGGTTTTGCGTGTCTAATTGGAGATGAACTCTCGCTCGATGACGATGCATGCCCTCATTTGGTTTCAGCCTTGTCAGGTCGATCACACTGCGCTCAGTCATTGCATCCTGGTCATGGTGCTGAAAAAAAGGCCGACCTAAACCACATACACTCACTGATGGGCCACATGTCACGCGCACTATTAGAATGCGAACAATAAGGAAGAGACACACACAGTAGGAAGCCCCCCATCCCCCTCCCTCCCTCCCTCATATCCCTCTTTCCCTCATACGCCCACCCTATACCGATCATCCCCAGGGACCTTCTCACCCACCGCCTCTCTTCATCTTGAACAACACCACAGGGCTCGACGACAGAAACTGCTCGCCGATCGGAGAGCGAAAGCCGTCCTCAATGCCCTCTGCGCCTTCCTCCTCCTCCTCCCGTTGGTCGTGCAAAAGGTGTGGGTGGCTCAGAATAGGTGAGGGAGTCGACACGGGAGATGCTGTACTCATGTGGTTGTGCCTGCTGCTGCAGATGGTGGTGTGGTTGGGCGTGCTGCTGCGGGAGAGGGTGCTGAGCCGACGGCCTCATGTGGTGTGCTGTGGCTGGCGGACGAAGACGCGACAGTGCTGCTCCACCGCCTTGTCGATTCCGTGTTCCAGCAGGTCATCGTCGAGCGGTGGCGGCAGAGGATAGGCCGCTAGCAGCCCCGCCAGGATGTGGTTCAGCTGCCCGTGTCTTGAAGTACCTCTTCAGTGAAGGCGCCCCACCACTTGTCCCTGCGGCTTGCCGCCGCACACCATTTCCGCACCCCCAGGCGTCGTTCAGCTGGGTATTCCATCTGCCACATCAAGCAGCATAAGGTAGCCAGACAGGCAATTCCAATGAGACAGAGACCGATTCCGATGGACATGCTGCTTGGTGTGCCGTGTCTCTCCATGTGTGAGCGGGACTAACCGACCGATCCACCCACGCACCCACCCACCCACCTCTTTTCGCTGCAATATCTCCTCCTCATCGCGAGGCTTCCCCGTGCCGAAGATCGACGCTGTGCGGCCCCTAATACACACACACACACAGACAGACAGACAGACAGACAGACAGCTAGAGAGAGACTCAAATGAGCGAGCACTGAAGAAGTGACTCACTGCCTGAGGAGCGATGCAGGTGTGTCGATGGGCCCCTTGGGTTTGTCGAGGTGGAGGTGCTGCACCGGGTGGAAGGGCTTGTCTTCCCCTGCTCCCGTCGCCCCGTGTGCCGACGACTCGGGGGTATTTCTTCGCTCAATCTTCGGAGCTCGCAAAACCGTTAAAAAGGCCGCGAAGGTCACCCGTCAGGTTCTCTCGGAGCTGAAAGAACTCCACCGGGTGGCAGCGAGGCTCAGCAAGGACCAGAACACCAAGCATTTCTCCCGGGGCGAGAAAGGAACACCGAATCGAGGGCGGCCGCCAGTGGCACCGGTGTCGATCTTGGCTTCGCAGCGATGACCTTCTCGTCCCCTCTCTCGTCGTGCGCCTCGGCGCTCCAGCGGGCGATGAAGAGGGTCCACCCCGGCCAGCTGAAGGACTTCATCCTCCTGATGCGGGATATCTACGGTGCGCCCTTCGTCACGCTGCTCACAAGTGTTTTCCTGGCGGTCAAGGGCATACTGTGGAGCTTCATCTGGCTCGGGCAGCTGCCGTAAGCAACCACCCTGGATCAGACATGTGTGTCTATCTGGCCGGCTGGTGGCTCGCTGGCTTTGGGTGGGTCGGATTGTTCTGATTGGCGCGGTCAGGTACTACAAGGAGATCGGCATCGATGGGTCGAGCTACCAGACACTGTTCTTCGTCGCCTTGATGCCATGGGCGATGAAGGGTACGTAGAATGAGGGAGGGGGGACAGGAGTTCAGACACCTTGCTTGTATCGTGGTGGTGTTGGTCTCTGGATCGATCAAAGGGTTGTTTGGAGTGATGAGCGACGTGCAGCCGTTGTTCGGGTATCACAAACGGCCCTATCTGGTGATCGGCGCCATCTCAGCCACTGCCGCAGCCCTCCTGCTGGCGGTCCTGCCGAGAGATGGTGAGACACACCATGCGTGGATGGGAAGGGGGTTTCTCCAGCCGCACTGGACTGACTGTTCTTCGTTCAGTTGCTCGCGCCACGCCTCAGATCGGCGCACTTGGGTTCTTCTTCGTGAGCGTCGGAGTGGCCATCATTGACCTCCTCGTCGAAGGTAAGGCAACCAAAACGACATGACCGCGTTGATGCTGCCAACCAACCCACCCACCCACCTTGGTTGTGTGTCTCAGCCAAGTATGCGGAGATCATGCGGCAGAAGCACCTGGCTGCACTGGCCGGCGGGACGCCCCAGCTGGCGGTTAAGGACCGCACCGACGGCCCCGTCCCCTCAGAGATAGAAACCGTCACTGCCACGCCACAAAGGTTTGACAACAAAAGGTGGGGATGGCGACCGCATCTCCATGTCTCTGTTGGTGTGTGTATGTGCAGTGTGGAGGGATCAACGGCAGTTGAGGTGGCAGACAGTGAGGGCGACAGCACGGACAAAGACCCGGCGAGCAAGGTCGTCACCTATGTGTGGATGTGCACCATCGTGGGCTGGTTCCTGGCGTCCTGCATGATCGGCCCCATCGCGGACAACTTCAGCGTGCAGCTGGTCTTCTGCGTGGGGCCCTTCCTCGCCGCCCAGGTGCTCATTCCGATTCTCAAGGGGTACCTGCCCGAGACACGGCTCCCACCAGGGGAGGCCAACAAGTTCCAGCGAGACAAGTTCCAGAAGGGCAAGGCGGTCTTTGGCCTCGCCTTCGCTACGGCCGTTGTCGCACTGGCACTGGCTCTTGCCGGTGAGGGGAGGGCATTGTCGCGGCGGCGGGCATTGAGTGGAGTGATGTCGTGTTTTTGCAGGGCTGGTGGGTCCGCCTGAGACCAAATTGGCGGTTGCGGTGGGGGGCTCCTTGATCCTGCTGCCTCTGGCGTTTCGAGTGCTGCCCTGGAGACTGGCGTGTGTTAACGTGTACCTCTTCGTCTCAGGTGGGTACATAACATATCAGCTGATTTGATTGTCGGTGGCGGGACGGGCGAATTGACTGATATATACCTTCGCGCACCGCACCTGCTGTCCATGCGATGCGATGCGTGTGTCTGCAGAGGCGCTGTATGTGTCTCTGCAAGGCGCGACTGACTACTGGTACACAGCGGGGCCTGAGTGCGTGCCGGGGGGACCTCATTTCACGTGGGTATCACTACTAGTGATTGTTGGCTGCGGGCGAATTGGCTATCCCTTTGGCGTATGTGTTTGTTAACACAGCTACACCTACTATCAGTCCTTCGCGCACATTGGTGAGCTAGCTACCTATAGCCCGCAAAACACCTCATTGATTGGGATTGGGATGCGGCCCTTCCCTCCCCTGACTGACATGCAGTGTCAACATTTGGGTGCATGTTGGGTCTGTTTTTCTTCCACTCCTTCATCCGCAACTGGCGCATGCGGAAGGCCTTCTGGGCGACGACCATCATCAAGACGGCCGCGTGCAGCCTCGACATCTTCATTTTGCTCCGGTGGAACGTCCGCGTGGGCATCCCCGACAAGGTGGCCTTCATCTTCGGCGACGCCATGCTGCCGTCCATCGTGTGGCTGATGGAGTACATGCCCGGCCAGCTGCTCGTCTCGAAACTCGCACCGCCCGACATGTAAGTGCGGTGTGGAGGGAGAGATATGGAGGGAGGGGGGGAGCGAGGGCACTGGTTTGTGTACCCGTGTGAATGTGTGTGTCGGCAGGGAGAGCACCACTTTTGCCATTTTGGAAGGCTTCCGTATGTTCGGGTCAACGGTCAGCCGCGCCGTGGGTGTCTACGTGATCAACCAGGCCGGCATCAAGACCACGGTAACTTACTTAACCCAACCAAACCATATATCCAAACACAACACCGCATGAAGCGGGCGGGAATTCGACACTTTGATGTGTCCTTCCTCGTCCGTCTTGTGTCTGTCTGCAGCCGCCCGGTTGCGACTTCAGCGCCTTGCCTTTGCTGGTGGTCATCTGCCATATGGCGCTGCCTCTCATCGCCATCCCCCTCACATTCGTCCTCATCCCCAACAAGTACTTCCACGACCCTCTCGTCGACGTCGCCAAACCCCCGCCCGCCGCCGATGAGACGCAGGAGTCGTCATCCGGCAAGATCGAGATGGCGGCGGGGACAGACGCGACGACCCATGACAAGGGCGATGCCGAGGTGAAGGAGTACGCGAGAGCTGACTCCGTGCTGACCATCAGTACGACGCACACGCGCCAGGTGGCGTGTGGCGGGGGAGAGGAGGAAGGGGAGAGGGACAGGGAGGGGGAGAGCTGTGTTGACGTCGACATATCGTCTTCGGCGGAATCGTCATCGCATGCCCCCACCTCCACACCCACACCGGCGGGCTAGACTACACCACACCACACAGACGGCCGCCCGAAACTCATCTGGGAGGGGAGGGAAGTGGGGGAACGGCTGGGGGGCTTGTGGGGTGTCATGTCGATATGATACGGGACCGGATTGAGGGTCACATGTTTGTAGTGACGTGATTGCCGCCCGTTACATTGATGAGCGCTGTTGATGTGGTGTGGCAGGGCAGGCAGTGTCTCGAAGAGACGCCAGTGAACGGATGGATGCGTGCAATGACATGACATGATGATGTGACCATGGCCAGGTCATGATGTGTTTCCTTCCTGTCAGTCGGAGCAAGCACAGCGGCGACGCGCTTGACACTGCTTTTTTGCCGTCAGGTGGATGGATGGATGGATGGCAGAGAGATTTATGCGTTGTCTATGTGTGTGTGTGTGTGTGGATAGATAGCGTAGCATCCTGTCGATGTCGTCCGTACGCAGAGAGAGAGACAGACAGAGGGAGAGAGAGGGATGTGTCGATCTTCCTCCATTCACACAGAGTGTTGTGCGCATGACGGCGCAACGCTCTCATTTCATAGCTGTACATCCCATCCATCTGCGATGGCTGTGTGTATCCCGTCCGTTCTAGTGAGCACATTTGAAGTGAAGGAAGCATAGCATCTGGTGGAGTGGAAGGGCATTCAGCTGCTCAGAATGTCCGGCTGAGCTGACGACGACAGTCTTGTCTGCCTGCCTGTACACCACATACACAAAAGGGAAACATGAGTAGCCAACCCATCTGTCCATCGCATCGACCAAGCCAACATGCGTCGGTGCGACACACCGGGCGATACACATACGCACATAGCACTAAATCGGCATGCCCCTCTCTCCCTCCACCCCTCCATCCATTTATCCAGCCGCCCACACTCAGCCACACGCATATCGACCTGCCTTCAGCTCCCCTGTGAGCCCCACTCCTCCCCACTCTCATTATCTTCATCTTCTTCAACATACGCCTCGTAGTTCTGATGCCACTCATCGTGGGAGTCCATGTCCCCATCCTCCTTGGTCATCTTGTCCAGCTCCCCCCTGGTAATGAATCTCGGCAGCCGCTTCTGCCCGCTCATGCGGATGCGGCGCAGGGCCTTGGTAGGCCGGGACGACACCTCCCACCGGTAGTTCTCCGCCTGGGTCCGCCGCACCGCCTCCTCGCTGTTGCGTATCGTCAGGCTGCGATCCATCCCGCCATCACGGCCCTTACGCGGATCTGCAGACACGAACAGACACACGGGGCGGGAGGAGTGGGCATCATGTGTATGTGTGTTTGGACTGACCGAAAATGGCTTTGGTGACGCCGTCGCCGCCCAGTATCCTGAGCGGCATGAGCCCCCTGTGCCGCAAAGCCACCTCGAGCAGGATGAGCACGTAGGCGTCGAGGGCGGCGTAGTGCCGCTGAGTGTCCGAGAGGGGCCTGAAGTTCCAGTTGGACAGCTGCGGGGCCTTGTCCAGGTGGCCACCCAGGAAGTCGACACACATCTCGCTCAGCGTCCCCAGCTCCACCAGCCTCTCGTGTTCGGCCTCGTGGTCCTTCAGCCTCCCCTCTCTCTCCCTCTCCATCACACGGCTCCCGCGAATGCTCCTCGGGTAATGCCGCCGCAGGTACCACTCGTCGCGCACGGATCTGGGCACTTTCATGTCGGCAGAGGGGCCGCCGATGGTGCCCTTGACGCGGATCTGCTGCTGCGCGTCGTGCAGCGACTGCTGGTGCAGGTCTGTGGCTCGCTGGAGGAGGGAGAAGTCGTGCGTCTCGAGGGCCTGTGTCAGGAGGTCTTGCACGTCGTGGATGGGCTCGGGCTCCTCTGGAAAGCTCACGCGAAATGTCTCTCTCCGGGGATCCCTGAAGCACCCACAGCACCCACAAGAGGCAACAGACAAAGCAATACACAAGAGGTGAGCGCCACCCTGTGGATGGATGGTACCATCACACTGACTGACTGACTTGAGGTCGACAAAGTTGGTGAGAGTGTTTAGGAGGCCGACGTCTTCCATGGCCACACACAGCCGCTGGTAGTCGATTTGGAACTGGTACCCCACCTTGAGGATGTGCGGGTTGGTGAGCGTCCACCGCAGCAGCTGAAACTCCATCGACCGGTACAGCTCCGACCGGTTGTTGAGGTCCAGCAGGAACACCTCGCTCGGCGTGGCCAGCTGCACCAGCGAAGCCCACTGCGGCGGGCTCCACTCGACGTCCAGCCCCACCATGTCCACCTGCCCCTCCTTCATGAACCGAAACACCGCACTCAGCTCGCTCGGCGTGTCGATGAAGTGCACCTTCTCGTCGGGCAAAGGCAGCTCCAGCGGACCCACCCCACCACCAGCCGCTACCCCGCCGCTTTTCATTGCTCGCCGTCTGGCCGCCCGCACCCCCTGCGCACCGGCGTGCCAGTGGATGACTTTTGATTGCGGGTCGAAGTCCTTGGCGGCCCGGAAGCGGGCGCTCAGCTGGCGGCTCTCGCCGGGGGGCGCCAGCCACGACGCCACCACTGCATTCTCGGTGGTGTCCTCGTCTGTCCTTCTCGTGCCGCGCAGTGGCTGCCTTTTCCGCTGGAAGTGTAGGAAGCGAAGAAGGGCCCTCTCGGCGTGGCCGAAGCGGGTCACACGACGGATCGAGTCGGTCACGAACGCGTCTTGCTCCTCTCTGGGCCTTTCAGCACTCTGCCCCTCGCTCTCTCCTGTCGCTTGGTCTGTCGCCGTGGCGCCCTCCTGGCTCGCCTGTTGGTCTCCCGCGATGCGCGGCATGGCTGTTTCATCCCCTTCTGGCGGCAGTGAGGGTCTCGCAGCGGGGTCGAATAGCCACCGGTAGTCCTCCTTCAGCAGCATGGTGAGCACCGAGTCTGCGGGGATGAGATGTGGCTCTGCCAGGGCCTTCTCGATGTGCAGTGCGTGGGCGAAGCTCCAGGCGTCCCGCAGCAGGCCCGTGTGTTGGCTCCTGGCCTTGAGGCGCTGCAAGGCGTCGATGAGTAGGGGGAAGGACCGCAGGTTGGCCAGGAAGTAGAGCAGGGCGTGGAGCGAGTGGCGGCGGATGGTGAGGTCCAGCAGCTTCCCGAGCGTCCATGGGCTGCCGCCGATGCCCTCGTCCAGACTCTCCATGTCCACACCAACACACCAACACACACACACACACACGAGAAATGCACATGTGTTGGTCAGTGTGACTCTGACTCTGATTCTGACCCACTTACTTTGATGGGATGGAACAGGAACGCCAGCTGCAGGGCCTCATAGATGCGCGGGGGCTGTATCCCCCTCCCAAGCCGCCGCGGGCTGGTGAGGAAGGTCAGCAGGAGGTCGATGTTGCTCGCCTGCAGGAGGCCGCCCTTGACGGGCTCCCGCAAGTGCAGGTCGTCCAGCAGCCTCAAGAAAGCCCCGGGGCCCACCACATCCAGCAGCCGATTGATGTCGATGCGCTGGAAAGAGTCAGGATTCAGCGAAATGAACCTGCAAGCGTTCGTTCATCAGACTGATAAAGGCCACGCCCTGTTCCGTCGCTTGCTGTCTGCCATCCATCTGACCTGGCGAAGCTCTCGAGGACGGTGCGTTTGAGTCTGGCTCTGCGGCCCGTGCGTATGGTTGGCGAGATGCGGTGGAAGATGGCGGGGTTGAGGATCCCGAAGACCAGCTCGGCGCCCGGCTGCACGTGGTGCTTCTCAAACAGCAGACTGCACGAAGTGTACACGTCAGACTGAAACGCCTCTATTCTAAACACACACACACACACACACACACACACAGTGAAAGCACCACACCAGCAAATAAATCCCATCGCACCTCTGCTTGGTCTCTTCGGCGTCCTCCGTGCCCTCGAGCGCATCAAGCGCCTGGAATATGAGGTTTGCGGCGATCTCCTCTGTCCGCCCCTGGGCACACAGCCTCGGGAGCAGCTCGTAGAGCTTGGCGCCATGGTGGATGGTGAAGCGCTCTCTGGCTGGGGTGGCGGGGCGGACGTGTTTGGTCATCTCCACGTTCCGACGCAGTGCAGGGGGCAGGTCGACGGGAAACAGGGGCTTGTGCCGGCCTGCGGTGGGCGGCTGTTGATGATGCTGCTGACTGTGGTGCTGGCCAGGGCGGAGAGAGGCCGTCAGGCGAACGATGCTGCGACGCATTGCGGTTGCGACCCATCGAAAAGATGATCTGTGCAGCAGATCTTGATCCTGGTTGTATCGAAGCCCATCCAAGACAACAGACCAGCGGGAAGAAGTCGCCGACTTTTGCGAGCTTGAAAGTGGCGAGCTAAGCGTGAAGCCTCCCCCTTCGCGAAGGGTTCCCCGAGCCGCCCGACACACCCCAGCAGCGCCATCGACATCTTTTTGTTTGAGGATTGAAGCCACCCCAGCATCTTCCCTGTTCGCCTCGGCTGATGCAGGTAGGTACATGCAGGTGCACCGATGAGAGGCGGAGAGTATGCAGCACCATTTGTGTTTGGTTTGGTTTGGTGTCATGCAGGCAACATCGATTCCATCCATCTTGACCCCTTCAAGCCGACGACTGTCCAGCGATGGTCAATGAATGGCCCTCCTGCCCCGTCCACACCCACCGCTGTGACATCCAAGCAAGAAGGAGGAGGCGGCGGTCAGGTTGGTCAACCTGACCCGATGTGGGCATACAGCTCCTCACATCCATCTGACGAGGCAGCTGGTGTCGAGGTCTCCCACCACCAGCCTGCGGTGCATCATGCTGACGTGGTAGTCAACGCTCCTTGGGTGTCAGCGAGGGTGGCGCTTACGCGGCTGCCCGAGAAGAGCATCTCGTTCATCTCGGGATGGGTGGCGGGGCTCTCCGGCATCGTCGTGGCACATCCATTCGGTCAGGAACACAGGCAAAGGCACACCCATCCAATAAATTGTGCACAGCACAGATGCCTTTGTGCTGTGGTGCTGTGGTGCTGTGTGTGCGTCGATTTCCACCATGCAGACACGCTGAAGACCCGGCTTCAGATCGGCCGCACATCGTCGCACCACCACTTCAGGCTCTCCTCTCTGACCCCTCGGTACATCACCACCCTCTACGCCGGTGTCGGGCCCCCTCTACTGGTGGCGGGCATCCTGCAGTCCTGCCTCTTCGGGTCGTTCAACCACTTCAAGGGCTACTTCCAGGGGCTGGCCGAGCCGCATGTGGCCCAGGCGAGGGCGTTGGGGAGCACTTATGGGTATGTCAAGGTGGCTGTGCTGAGCGGGCTGTCGGTGTTTGTGTCCGGTTCGTGTGCGGGGCTGTGCACGAGCGTCATAACGTGTCCCAGCGGGATGGTCAAGGTGCAGCAGCAGTGCTCGCCGGACCTGACGATGCTGCAGGTCATCAAGGCACTCATTCGCAAGGGCGGGCTGCCACTTATTTTTAGAGGTACGTACGTACGAGGTGTTCACACACCATCCCATCCATGCCACCTCACTCACAAATGGCCGGCTGGCTTTGCAAGCTTGTTTGTCTGACATCTGCTTGGGCTTGTTTGTATCAATCCAATCAGGTTACTCGGCCCACATCTTTATGGAGATCTTTGGGCGCGGCACCTACTTCACCGTATACGACGTCGTCAAGCGGGAACTTCACCAAACCACCCAGTCCCCCTCCCCTGCGCCCTCCCCTACTCCCTCTACCCCCCCTCCCTCCCCTCCCCCCTCCATGCCCTACTACAAGCGTGCCGCAGCGGGCATGTGCGCCGGCATCGCCGGATGGCTCGTCGTCTTCCCCTTCGATGTCCTCAAGTCACGACTGCAGGCACAGCCGCTCTTCGAGGGCGCGGCGAGGATCCCATCAGGCCCCCAGACCCACCTCTCGGACCCCTATGCCTTTGACACGAGTGGCAGGCGGACGACGGAGCGGGCCACCGGCCACAGGGGGTGGGCGGCGCCCAAGAAGTACGAAGGGTTTTGGCACTGTGCGCGGGAGACGTGGAAGGAGGGCGGGGTGCGGGCGTTCTACCGTGGGCTGGGGTTCACGCTTGCAAGGGCGGCGCCGGTGGCGTGTGTGGTGCTGCCTGTTTATGACGTGACGCACGAGACGCTGCTGAGATGGAGGAATGGGTGAGTAGCTGAGGGGACATCGATGACAGGAAGAGACGATTGACGGACGACTGGCTGACTGTCAATGAGCAAAGATGGATGAGCGAGTATGTCGCCCAGCCACCGAGATGTCCAGATCTAGAGTCCTATGTATGTCCGAGTATGGATGGTATGCCCTCACTGATGTCTGTCTGTCTGCCTCATGCCATGCCCGTTCTGTCTGTCCTCGGTCGAGAGAGCAGGCAGGCACTGCGGCAGCGAACCCCGCCCTCCTTGCTTGATACCCCCTACAATGGGGGGATTACACCGACATACAACCATCAAGTGCCCTTCACACACAGACAGCCAGCGGTCGCTCACTCACCGCTGTCTGTGCCCGTCGCTCCCTCACAGACCAATGAGTGGTGTAGTGCCTGCCACCCATTCATTGTCACCCCCTTGCCCCTCTACACACACACACACACACACACACACGTGCACACTACATTCAGCACATCACACCACATCATACGACACCACAGCCATTCACTCACCGATGTCAAGTCACAAAATACTGACACCACGCGACGCGCTGGGGGGGATCCCTCTCTATCGCCTCTTGATATATCACGGACGGACGGAAAAACACAGCCACACACACTCATACACTCTGTAAGTAAGTCACACGTGGTGCGTGATGCCGCAGACATGACAGGCAGGCAGGCAGGCACAGGAGCCGAGCCACCAGGCGGTCAAAACGTCGCCCGGGATCCGACCGACATGCAGCAGCACCGGCACCAGCAGCCGGAAGCACAAACATTCACCACTACTGTACACCACAAACACTCACAGAGACAGACAGACGGGCACACGAGGAGAGAGACAAAGGGGCGGGGGAAAAACCGACCGACAGACCGACCGACCGACCGACCGACCGACGCTTCCCATTCCATCAACGAACGAACGACACGAGATCGGCAGACACACATACCCGCGGACCAGACAGGCAGGCAGACAGACATGAAGGCAGGAATGGAAGGAAGGCTGTAAAAGCTCGAATCGCACGCAACAATCATTCGCTCCGATACGAATTCGACACGCACACAGGCAGGCAGGCAGGCAAAGGCAAGGGAAACAGAAAAGCTCCTCTATGCGATGTGATGCGATAAGTAAAGTCAAACACGCATTGAATGCATTGTGCTCATGTTGGGTTGGGGGGGACGGGCAATGCCATGGGGATAAACCGACAGACAGAGAGAGAGACAGGCAGGCAGGGAGGCCAGAACGTGCCCTTATTGCGAGGCGGCTGACCGATCCGATCGTGCCGCCCAATGAATGTCAGTCACGCGTGTGGCAAAAAGACCGACCGACCGACCGACACAAACCAACCGACCGACCGACCGACATCGACTGGACGAAAATCAAAGATGGCAAAGCAAGAAGCAGTTAGTTAGCTGTAGATACGCGCAAACATGCACAACATACACACAACACACGAGTGCGCCCTCGCCGTCGATGGGCGGGGCGGGCCCATCAATGCATCACTTCACTTGGGGAGCATGTCGGCACTCGAGATCTGACACAGAGAGAGAGACAGACACATTACGCACGAAATCGCAACAGCACTCACGGCCCCCTGGCTGATTGAACAGGGCAGGGCGATCTCGCCGCCTTGACGCACCTCTTTTGATATGGCCCCATTGATGGCGCTGTCGGCCTTGTGGTACGTCTTGGCGTACTGGTCGTCAAACTCCTTGGCGCGATTCAACCTACACAGGCGTTCGGGTCAATCCATCAATCTGCCCGCCAGTCGGTTCTGTCTGCTCGGTTGTTGTCCTCACTTGAATATGGTGGATGAGAGGAGGGCCGCCACAAAGCCGGCGAAGAAGTAGACGGGGAACCACTCCCCTCCACCATCAGCACCTGATTGATCAAGCGATAAGCAGGCAGACATTGGCCTGTTGGGGTGTGTGTGTGTGTGTGTGTATGGTTGTCACCTTTGTTCATGACGTTGGTGGTGATGAATGCGACGGCGAGTGCGGGGTTGAGGCACGCGCCGCTGACTGGTACCATCGTGCCCACCGACACGTAGATCTGGAAGCCAATCGCCAGGCCGAAATAATCGTTGGGGAAGTCACTGCCCCATAAACAAATGGATCGATGGATGACCATGCACATCATACGAACAGGCAGTCAGCACATCAGCAGACGACAGAGTCATGTCTGTCTTTGTGCGTGGTTTGTTTGGAGGCTTGGCTTACGTGTGTCCGAATGCCACGTGCAGGACGACCCAGTGAAAGAAGGCCGTCATGATCACCTCAATCTGCACACACAACACACAACACACACACACACACACACACACAGAGAGAGAGAGAGAGAGAGCAACAACCCAGACCAAATCCGGCAAGGACGCCATGCAGCACATGAGGTGGGTGGCCCCCTCCCTCCCTGCGTCTCCACTTAACCAGGAACGCCTCGCCGGCGCCGTAGACGGTTCCGTCAGGCCTCGTCCCTGGCGCGATGCCGATGGTCTCGCCGGTGATGCCCCAGGCCACCAGCGCACCGCAGAACGCACCCAGCATCTGGGAGCACCAGTAGGAAAACACCGACATGAAGGTGTGCAGGTCAGGACGGGCCAGCCACATCGCCTGCACACAGACAGACACATAGAGAGAGATGTGTGTCATCCACACGTATTTGATTTGAGAGTGATATGGCTGGCTATGTGTGTGTGTGTGTGTGGCTGGCTGACCAGGGATAGCCCGGGGTTGAAGTTGGATCCCGTGATGATGCCCATCGAGTAGATCATGGCGGCGCAGTAGAGTCCGACTTTGAGGGCTGTGTCGGTCTGCCCGTGGATGACGTTGATGCAGATCAAGAACGCCAGACCAAAAGTCACGCAGAACTCGCCCAGATAGGCTGCACACATACACGACCGACCGACACATTTCCCCGTGGACCTTCGATCAACTGCTGTGTTTGCGGGGGTGCTGACTGACTGACTGACTGACCTCCAAAGTTGTAGTTTTGGTTGGCGAAGTTGTTCCTTTTGCCCAGTACCTGCAGCATCGCGTGGGTGCGTCCGCGGAGCAGACAGGCAGACAGACAGACAGGCAGCAGCACAGTGCTGATGCAGGCTGCATGCAGAGAATGGGATGTGCCTCTCATCTCGGTACCTACCTGCGCAACCTTCCTGAGGATGCCGTCGTAGGGCAGAGCGTCGTTGAACTTGATCGGGTTGAACACCATGATGATGTGAAGGACCAATGACTCACTGACTCGCTGACTGACAGCCCAAGAACCGAACCGCCTCAAAGGTCGATCAATGGATGCAACAATTGCTGTGCAAGCAGCGGTGCTCTGGCACTCTCTGGCGTCCTCTCTCCCTCCACCGTGGTTGCCTCTCGGCGAGCTTGCGGGGAGCGGTTCCCATGTTTACGAAGCTGAAGGAGGAGAGGCGATTGCCAGGCAGAGGAAAGACGCGCAGATCAGGTCCTTTCTCTTGTTGTCAGCCTTCCCTCCTGACCGCCTTGCTGCCGTCTAATCGACCTCTCTCTCGCTCGAACCAACCACCACATACATCACTCAAGATGCCGCCTCGGTGAGTGAGCAGAAAGACGAGCAGGGCTGCAGACACTGCACCCAAGGCTCGTGTGCGCGTGCTAAATGCTGCATGCATCTTGCATCATGCATGCCATTGAGCGCCCACTTTTCCTGTGTCGATGCAATGCAATGCAGCACTCCCATTCCCCTGATCACCGTGAATCCCGCCAAGAAGCCGTGGGAGCAGGAGAAGCCGCTGCACAACCGCTGGCACCCCGACATCCCCGCTGTGGCTGAGGTCAAGGAGGGCGACCTCTTCACCGTCGAAACCGTCGACTGGACCGGAGGGCAGATCAAAGACGATGACAATTCCGATGACGTCAAGTTTGTCGACCTCTCACAGGTCAGCCAGTCAGCCTCGCTCGTTCGTTCAGACACAGACACACATGGACGGGCAGATGTGTGGGTGTGGGTGTGGGTTCATGTCTGTCAGGTGCATTATCTGTCTGGTCCGATCAAGGTGACCGACAAGGACGGCGTGCCTGCCAAGCCCGGCGACATTCTGGTGGTGGAGTTGTCCAACCTCTACCCACTGGCGGGCGACGAGTGGGGCTTCACCGGCATCTTCGACAGGGACAACGGCGGCGGATTCCTCACGGTGAGTGCGTACATGCATGTGATAGATAGACGGGGGAGTCATGGATGCGTTGTGTGTGTCAGGACCACTTCCCCGCTGCGGCCAAGGCAGTCTGGTACTTCGACGGTGTCTACGCCTACTCGCGGGTCAGTGAGTGAGGGGGGCACCGACATGGTCGGTCACCCATGCCTGTGCCTGACACACTGGTGTCTGTCTGTGTGACGTCAGCACGTTCCCGGCGTTCGTTTCCCCGGGCTCATTCACCCTGGTCTGATCGGCACTGCACCGTCGGCGGAGCTCCTCAACATCTGGAACACCCGAGAGAAGGTCGGTCCGTTGACACGACACACAGTTGAACAGACAAATGGATGCTGGATGGATGGATGCATCGATAATGCCTGCCTGCTTCTATGCTATGTGTGGTGTGGTCTGTTGATCGAACCGATGTGATGTATGTATGTGTGTATGTGTGTGTGTGTGCAGTCGTTGGTTGACGGTGGCGAGAAGGCCACGACGCTCTGCAGCGTCCTGCAGACACGACCACTCGCATGCCTCCCCAACGCTACCGGTCAGCCAGTCACCCGCACACATGCGCGAGAAGGGGTCGGTCGTTTGTGAGCTGACTGACTGTGGTGTGGGTGCTCCACTCGTTTGGTTGTCAGGTGCGTGCCTCGGCACCGTCAAGCCCGGCACCGCCAACTGGACCAAGTGAGCCAAGCCACCATCCCATGGACACACATGACTGAGACTGACACCGTGCCGTGTCTGTCTGCTCTGTGTGTGTGAAGGATTGCTGGCGAGGGTGCGCGCACGGTGCCTGGCCGCGAGAATGGCGGCAACTGTGACATCAAGAACCTCTCACGAGGATGCAAGGTATGTATGTCGATACACACCACACACGTACACAAATGGTCTCAGACACGTGTGTCTTGTGTTGTGGTGTGTGCAGGTGTACTTCCCGGTGTTCATTGAGGGCGCCAACCTGTCGATGGGCGACATGCACTTCAGCCAGGGCGACGGAGAGGTCTCCTTCTGCGGCGCCATCGAGATGTGCGATTCACTCTCACACACCGACACACTCGACGACACGCGCATGGAAGTCTGATTGTGTGTGTGTGTGTGCGTGTGTGTGTGCAGGTCTGGGAAACTTGAGATGACGTGTCAGATCATCCGCGGCGGCATGGACCAATACCTCACACCCATGGGACCCACCAAACTGCACGTCAACCCAATCTTCGAGTAACCGAAGCAGACTCACAGACACACAGACAGACTGCCAACAACAGCCCAACACGCACGTCTCTCTTTGTGTGTGTGTGTGTGTGTGCAGGATTGGTCCGTTGGAGCCCCGTTTCTCCGAGTGGCTGGTGTTCGAGGGCATCTCTGTGGACGAGACGGGCAAGCAGCACTACCTCGACGTGTCGGTGGCCTACAAACGGGCCGTCCTCAACTGTATCGACTACCTCTCCAAATTCGGGTGAGCCCAGCCAGGGCACTCCCTTTTATCCGTTGCTTCTCGGACCATCCATTCATGCATCGTGTCGGCGTGGCTGTTTTATTTTGTCTGTGTCTTGTTCACAGGTATTCGAAGGAGCAGATCTACATGCTGCTGTCGTGCTGCCCTTGTGAGGGCCGTGTCTCGGGCATCGTCGACGTCCCGAATGCCGTCGCCACACTCGCACTGCCACTCGCCATATTCGACATGGACATACGGTACACACAGACGCGCTCAGACACAGTCTTTGTGTCCATGTGTGAGTGTGTGTGCCTCAATCAGGCCCAAGAAGATCGGCGGCCCGAAGGTTGTGTCTCGCCTGGACGTGCCCAAGTCTACCTATGACGGGTCATTGCCTCGATTCGTGAACCCTGCTGCCGCCCTGCAGTAGCAAGCACATCTGCATGTAACGAACCAATGCTCGCAACAAGGGGGACCACACACCCATCCATGCCATGCCATCCATCGCACACATATGATGGATGGACGCTCGCACTGTCGTCTCAGCTGATACTCATGCGAGGCGGTGCACTATATGCGAGCGACAGATGCAGACAGACAGACAGAGAGGCAGGCAGGCAGACAGGCAGACAGCCGTGTGTTGCGCGTGATATGGATGGATGGATGGATGGAAGCAGTATGGCACATATGGGTGTTCTTTCCTCTCTGCTGTGGTGGCTGTGTGTGTGCTGCGCATGCAGTGCGTCGAAGAGCGTGTTGGCGGGCATGGTGAAATCTGGTGTGGCCAAGTCGCTGGCGGTGTGCTGCAAGAGACCCCTCACCACCGCATAACTAACGACACAAGACACCACGACTGTCCGTGCGCGGCCGGGATCATGCCTCACTCACGGAGTGTATGTTTATTTCATGTATGTGTGTGTGTCTGTGTGTGGTGTGTGGTGTGATGATGATGATGATGTGAGCCTGCATGACGTGAGCGGACGGAGAAGTTGGCGGAGGGCAGCTGGGGCAGGCAGTTATGGGACACTGTGTGATGGATGGATGGATGGATGGGACGGTGTGTCGGTTCTTTCTTCTTTTCTTACTTCTCTTCCTCTGTATTGGCCTGCGTGTGATCGTTGGCTGAGTATTCATCCATCACAATCACAACTGATGTGATTGGATTGCCTTCCCCCATGAAGGAATCAATGAATGGCTGCATGCACTGCACTGCACTGAGGCTTTTTCCCACCGCTCCCACTTTTTCGCGGAGCGAGGAGGTAGGTAGGTACGTTACGTTGTGCGACGACTGACTGGATGCATGGATGGCTGGATGGCTATGCATGGTATGGTCCACACTGACGCGTTTGTAAGCGGCCTGTGTTCCATGCCTGCCTGCCTGCCTGATGACTGGACGGACGGACCGGTATGTGTGTGTAGTCTATCTATGTTGCTGCGATGCATGGTGCGAGTCGAGTTGTAGACAAGCAAGACCGACCACGGGCCAGCCAGCTGGAGTCGAGTGTATCAGACAGATCAGATAGATCGAGTGAAGAATTTCATGTACGCGTGTTTAGTGCGCGTGTGCATCATGATGTGTGGATGGAATGTTTGGATGGGTGTGAGAGAGGAGCGCACATGGTAGGGTGGGCTGGGGTGGGTGATATATGGAGCAATGCGATCGATGCGACGCGACAAGACAGACTACTTCTCATGGTTGGACAAGACAGACTACTTCTCATGGTTGGTCTTTTTTCCAGCCAACAGCACGATGGGATAGATAAGGAGGGACGGAGAGACATGTTCTCATCTCAAAAGACAGAGAGGAAGAGACCATCGATACATACGTGCAGTCTGTATGTCATGTGATGTGATGTGATGCATTTCCGTGCCGAATGGATTGCGATGCGATGCGATGCGATGCGGGGAAACGGTGATCGGACTCGACCGGCCAATGTGAGGGTGAAATCATCTCACACACACACAGTGCCCGGCCATTCGTTCTTAAATTGGTCTCTGTTCGTGAGAGTCCAAACCAAACCATAGCACACGCAGCCATGGCATGCAGCAAGGCAGGCAGAAACCGAACGGGGAAGGGCTGGTATGCAGCCCGCGCGCCGCGCCCGGCCTGCATCACATGACATCTCTGTCGCAGTGTGCGCCTCACTCGGCCAGCGCCCAATACCCACACCACCTTGTCCGGAAGCTACCGATAAGGTGTGCAAGTAGGAGGACGAGCGCCGAAGGAGACGGACACACAAACAATACCATACCCGCCACATCACATCCGTCTGTCTCTCTCTCTAAACAGCCTGCCTGCCTGGATGGGGTGACAGCTGCTTACACACACGAAAACACATGCAGGCACGGCGTGCAGGCCAGTCAGTCAGGGCTGTCAGTCAATTCACATGGGGCCAGCTGGTTCGCGGGGGTGGGGTGTGGTGTGGTGTTTATGCCCTAGAGAAGGCATTCAGAGTGCCGTCGTCGGTCTGACACACAACACACAACAACCATGTGGGCAGTAAGTATACCATCCATGTGTGCACACTGCAGGTGTGAGTGTCTGTATGTGTGTGCGTACCACAAAGGCCGGCTTTTTGACGATCTCATTGACAAATGTGGTCCAGCACACCTGACCATCTTCACACAACACAACACAACACAACACAACGCAACACAACACACAAAAAGACTCATACATACATCGATCGAGTGCAGGCGCATTGTGTGTTTGTTGTCTTACTTCCTTTTTTGCTCCACTCATGGATCCTGTCCCTGAGGTCCCCGTAGTTGATCTCATCCCGGCCCCCAGTGAGCGTGTCGAACACACAGTTGATGGCCACCTCGTCCAGGTAGTCCTGACCGATCGCTGCGTTCACCGACTTGCGCATCTCTGCAGTCATGACAGACAGACACACGTGCCACAACACGTGCGATAAACACCACGCCGATGTGTGTGTGTGTGTGTGTGTGTGAAGGGTGGCTGCAGTCACTGCAGTGACTGACCTGTTGGGTCAATGTCCCACGGGATGCCCAGCTGGACCACCTGGACGTCATACTCCTGACATACAAGACACAGATGGGTGGGTGGGTGCGGTGTAGGTGTGTGTCAAGTGCATTGATGGCATCTAGCCACACCTTCGGCTCAGCGAGTGGACCATGGAGGTGCTCTTCAATCGGCCACTGCCGGTCCCACACTAACCGGCTCTCTACGGGCCTGTATGCGTACCAACATCATATGATCACACATACTCTCTCTCTCTCCCTCTCTCTAGGGGGCGTACAGCTCATCACCCCCCCCTCCGTCCCTCTCACCAAAGGAATGGCAACCGCAGCAGGCCGGTAGTGAACTCTGTCCTCGTGAGTATGTGGTCCTCCCCGAGCATCGGCTGGAAAGTGGCCGCCTCCAACACATAGCTATAAGGTTCATGGCTTGCGTCCCGCTTCCCCTTAGGTATAGCCAGCCGCCCGAAGATCTTCACCAGGTCCAGCAGCACGAACGCTGGTATGACAGCAGCATCATGCCGCCTCCACCTGTGGTAGACGGGGTGGTGGGTTGAAAAGACAGAGGGATAGGAAGCGGTGGGCTGCCTCCTGCCAGCAGTGGGCCTGGAGGCCTCAATGAGGCGGGAGAGGCGCCGTGGTGAGAGATCTGTGCGGGATGCAGTGGATGTGGTGCTCTTTGAGAGGGATGTGAGCAGCAGGAGGATGGAGCCTCCAGCTGATAAGAGCATGATGAAGGGGGAAAGGACGACGGCTGGACGGAAAGGACGCGATCTTTCAGATCGCCTTCTCAGCTAAGCTCGCAGTCGCGCCAGTTTCCCGACCGTGAGCCTTACTGGGCAATCAATCACCCGCCCTCGCGAGGGCGATAGACAAGGGAGAGCGAATCCATCCAGACACATGACTGAACCCCCGACCCTTCCACCCCTCCTTCTCCAACAGCGCATGAGCCATGTGGGCGATGAACACGTTGGCATCGTGTCCCCACACACCG